GATATCTACTTTTCTCTCCTTGCAAAGCCAATGACCTAAGATAGCAATTGTGTCTAACACTGGCTTCCAGCCAGCACAGAAATTGCCATCACCTAGCTTCCCGTAACACAGGCAGGGCATCTCTAACTAGGTCAGAGCAAGCCAAGGGCTGCTGCTGGGTGGTGGCAGCCACAGGCAAAGGACAACTTCCCAAGGCCAAGGCTCAGCTGCAGCTGCCCGGAGGCATCATATGAAGATCAACGGGCTTTTGGCTTCTTTTTCTTAGTAGTAGAAAGTTAGGGGTTTCCAGGTTCCATGGAGCAGGAGACTCTCCTCCTTCCACCCTGGCTGCAGAAACTCTCCAGACTCTTGAGAGATCCCTCAATCAGCTGGTGCAAGTGGGATCAGGCCTCAGAGCTGAATGAATGCTTTTGAAAATCACTTTCCCTAATGGGGATTTAACTTAACATTTTTGTTTTAAAGAATGTAAGAGAATTCTGTGATCTGATTTACTGTAATACAGATATAAATCACTAATCAAATAACCTTCTCTAAGATATTATGTTAATGTTCAAAGTCCTCCTAGCCAATGCTGAGGAATGATGAAACACTTACCTCAAATTACCTCATCACTGTGTAGTCAGCACTGGGAGGTTTGCTAGAAGGTGACAACCCCTTTCTTTGCCTCCCTAGTTATTAATCACCCTTTAAGTAGATCTCTACTCATTATGGCACTTCCTCCCTAAGCTGTGCCTGGCTTTGATTTTTCTGAGTATTTATTGAGTACCATCTAGAAACAAAGGACTCCGCAAGATGCTGAGGATACAGCAGTGAACGATACGGATGTTGTCCTCACACTTGCATGGCTTAGCATAAGACTGGAGAGAAAAGACATTAAACAAAGTAACTACATTACTCAGTTCATCACATCTGTGATAAATGCTACAATGGCAAGGTACTGTGGCCTGAAAGCATGGGTCAGAGCCTGTCTTTTGTGCCCCATGGCTCATCCTCATTTCACTGTAGCACCCATCACGCTTTATAGTAATTAGCTGTTTATCTTTATTCCCCACTATGAATGGAAATTAAGAATGGTAATTGGGCTGTATTTTCATAGCTTGGTATAACTCCTTTAGACTAAAAACATTTCATATTTATTTATGGATGAGTGATTCAATAATCAAATGGACTTGCCCAAAATACTAAATTAATGAGCCAGGATAAGACTTGAACCTAGGATTCCAATTCCCATACTTGTGTCTCTATACACCATTACCAAGAAACAGTAATGATTCTAGTAAAATGTAAGACTAGCCTACAACATAATGACAAATAAAAGAAGTAACCTATAAATAAACATTATTTTTAAACTATGCCTGCTTGTAACATAAGAACCTATGTACATACAGGTATGATATAGTATGGATTTTATTAACATACACTAGTATAGACAGATACATAACTACAGGCTGAATATCCCTTATCTGAAATGTTGGGGAACAGAAGTGTTTCAAATTTTAGATTTTTTTGAATTTTGAAATATTTGTGCATATATATTTTTATATATACAATGTTAGGGGATAAGACTCAAATTTAGACCTGAAATTCTTTTCTTTTTCTTGAAACAGGGTATCCCTCTGTCACCTAGGCTGGATTGCAGTGGGACGATCACAGCTCACTGCAGTCTCAACCTCCTGGGCTCAAGTGATTCTCCCACCTCGGCCTCCTGAGTAGCTGGAACCATGGTGCGCACCATGACACCCAGCTAAGTTTTTAAATTTTTAATAGAGACAGTGTCTTGCTACATTGCCCAGGCTGGTCTCAAACTCCTGAGCTCAAGTGATCCTCCTGCCTTGGCTTCCCACAGTGTTGGGATTACAGGCATGAGCCACGGCAACTGGCCAAAACATGAAATTCATTTATACTTCATATATATCTGATATGCATAGGCTGAAGGTAATTTTACACAATATTTTTAATAACTTTGTGGATGAAACAAAGTTTTTTCTTGTTCTGTGACCCATCACATAAGGTCAGGTGTGGAATTTCCTACTTGTGGTGTCGTGTTGGTGAAGGAAGTTTTGGATGCTGGAGCATTTTGGATTTTGGATTTTTGGATTAAGGATGCTCAATCTGTAATTAGTGACCCTACATTCCTTATTTATCCTGATTATCATTTAGCATTTGTAATGGAATATGCAAAACATATAAAGGTAAAGACTTACCTGACAAAAATGAGTTGTGTCTAAATAATGGCAATTACAAATAGTTATAAATAACATAAATACAATCAATATAAATTTGGGGTCTTATTTTCAAATGTAATAAAAATTAATTTCTTAAATTTATAACTCAAAGTTTATGCTTCAAAGAACGTTATAACAATAAGAAACTTGCACATGATAAAACAACACCATTCTTTCATTCTGTAGATACAAATTTATAACATGGCCAATCTGCCATCCTAACTTGGCAAAAGACATAAGGTATCTCATTGAATACTGAATTTTTCCTTTAATTCCTGGAAATTACAGATACAATGACCAAATTGGTATCAAATCTTTCTTTCTTTCTTTCTTTTTTTTTTTTTTTTTGAGACGGAGTTTTCGCTGTTGTTACCCAGGCTAGAGTGCAATGGCGCAATCTTGGCTCACTGCAACCTCCGCCTCCAGGGTTCAGGCAATTCTCCTGCCTCACCCTCCCGAGTAGCTGGGATTACAGGCATGCGCCACCATGCCCAGCTGATTTTTTGTATTTTTAGTAGAGACGGGGTTTCACCATGTTGACCAGGATGGTCTCGATCTCTTGACCTCGTGATCAACCTGCCTCGGCCTCCCAAAGTGCTGGGATTACAGGCTTGAGCCACCGCGCCCGGCCTCAAATCTTTCTTTTACTTTCTACCAAAAGAATCATTTTAAATGTTTTATGAAAACAGCCTAGGTCACTAAAGGGAATTAGCACCATCTAGTGAAAGAAGCTGGCAAAACTTGTATATCAAAACAAAACTGTAGCAGGGAGACAACCGTGTTAGCAGCATAATAAAACAGAAAACTGCAGCACTAGCTCCCCTTGCGATTATGTTTTATTAACTTACATTGGGCTCTACCGACTTTACTAATATCACATTTGTTTTAAAGACCTAACACTCAATATAACCTATCATTAACATATTTGTCAGAAATATTCCAATGATGAAACGTTCAAAAGAAAGATAATTTGCTATGTTGGAAGCATCACAATAAGTATGACCCATGAACACACTTTCCTGTCCTCTAATTTACAGCCAGCTTTAAAGGGCCTTGAGTTTATCCTGTAGGCCCTGAAAAAACCAAACCGTTTTTGCAACAGGGAAGATGAGTTTAGTAGTTGCATACAGGATTCAAATGGAAAGTGTGTCAAGGAAAGACTAACCTAGTGGGGGCAGATCGTGGTAATCTAGAGAGGACATGTCAAGGCCTGAACTGAAGTGGAAACAAAGGGTCTACTGAGAATGCCAAGTACATTGGGCTTAGGATAACTTTGACATTGAGCATGCCTCTAAATTATTGAAGAAAATTTTTTTTAATTGGTCATACCTGGCCGGGTACAGTGGCTCCCGCCTATAACCCCAGCACTTTGGGAGGCTGAGGTAGGTGGATCACCTGAGGTCAGGAGTTCAAGACCAGTCTGACCAACATGGTGAAACCCCGTTTCTACTAAAAGTACAAAAATTAGCCAGGCATGGTGGTAAGCACCTGTAATCCTAACTACTCGGGAGACTGAGGCAGAAGAATCCCTTGAACCTGGGAGGCGGAGGTTACAGTGAGCCGAGATTGGGCCACTGCACTCCAGCCTGGGTGACAGAGCAAGACTCCGTCTCAAAAAAAAAAATTGGTCACACCATTTTATTTCTTTTCTATTATTACCTTAAACTGTTACCGGAATGCTTATTCACTTTTTTTTCATCTTATTCTCCTATTAGAGGGTAAGCTCCCTGAGGAGCTCTAGCATAGATGTTATCAAAATAACATATAAATCATATAATTAAAATAACATGCATGTGAACTCAGTTATTTTAATGGCATAACTGTTGTGGAAATGACTAAAAATACAGTGGGTGTTTTCCCCTATTTTCAGGAGCCTTCTTGTGGAGTGTGGAGGAAATCTATGTTAATTACACGCTCTACCAACTCCCAGGTTTGCGATCGGAGCATCATCATGACAGTTTTTAGCTCATGGATGAAAAAGTAATTTGAAATAAGTTGGTCCTTTTTGTTGCATCGTTTGGATGAAATGATCAACTCATCTATGATGCCATTTTTTCCTCTCAATTTCAAGATTAAATTATACTGCCTATTCCCACAAAAAGCACCACAATGACAATTATAGATTAGGGCTTCTACTGAAGATAACATAAAATCATGAGAACCAAAAAGATCAACATGGCCTTAAAAAATCACTTCTAACACTTCAACTATACAGCAACCTTGTTAGTACAACAAAATAAAAATAAATTTTATGCAAGCTAAATTCCACTCTGAAAGTCTAAAACACTCTAACCAAAATTTTTATTTTCCTAAGTCTTTTACTTCAGAGTATTTTGCCTTTAAAAGAAATAACATAAAGTTCCTATTCACTGGAATTTCTAAGGCGGTGAACTCCAGTAAGAATCATCATTCAGACAGCCTGGCGCGGTGGCTCATGTCTGTAATCTCAGCACTTTGGGAGGCTGAGGCGGGTGGATTACAAGGTCAAGAGATCAAGACCATCCTGGCCAACATGGTGAAACACCATCTCTACTAAAAAATATAAAAATTAGCTGGGTGTGGTGGCGCACACCTGTAGTCTCAGCTACTCGGGATGCTGAGGCAGGAGAATTGCTTGAACCCAGGTGGCAGAGGTTGCAGTGAGCCAAGATCACGCCACTGCACTACAGCCTGAGAGACAGTGCAAGACTTTGTCTCAAAAAAAAAAAAAAAAAAAAAAAATTGAATGACCATTTACACTAGAAGGCTGAATGTTGACAGCTATAAGACACATACCTGAATTAAGGAAGAACTGAGGAGAATCTCCATGAATGCCCACTGTGCCTGGCCCCAGTGAGTCAGATAGGGTATTCACAAAGGAAAACACTCCACTCATGATTCCAAAGCCCAAGCCAGAAACTAAAGAGGAAGAAAAACACTGTTAACTCTTTTCCTGCCAAGATTTATTTTCAAGTCAAATTTCCAAGGACTAGTTAATGCAAGTGTGTTGCAGGGAAAAGGGCGCTTATGTTCTCCCTGAAGCAGCAGACAGCTGGCTGGAGAGTCATGTGCTTGGCTAAATGAGGAATGGAGAGAGAACAGGGAAAAGCAAAGGAAATGAATGGTAGAATGCAGCAGAGTAATGAAAAAGGGGAGAAAAAGGTCTAGAAAGGCACACAATAGGTGAGACAGAGGACACAATGCCAAGACTCTGGCTTTACTTTATGATAACAGAGTCCACAGAGTTGAGTTTGACAGCTTAGAACTAAAATTGAGTGTAACGAGGAACTATGTGTTCCTGAGCCAAACTGGGGAACCTAGATCCAATCTTCAACATAATTCTCAGAGTATAATATGCAGAGATATTAACCGCTTTAACACCAAGCGTCCTCCTAGAACAGCCAAAGTCATGGCAAGATTCAGAGAAAGTAAGTTTCATCACGCAGAAAATGTTAGTTAACTAGGGAAACCTGGTTAATATATAATGAACATACAGGTAAGGGTCACTTGCAATCACTTTTCCTTTACAAAAGGAACCTGGAAAGCTGGGATAATAAGCAAATATGTACACCAATAGGCCCAGGCAGCAATAATAAATAACTTGAAATCTACAAAGATATAAAAGATACAAGTGACTTTTATGCCGAGTCTGATTTTTTTTCTTAATGAAACCATGTGGTTATAACTTACCATAGGCCAGCAGTCGCATGGAGGGTGCTGTCTCACCTGGGCTTATACTCTTCAAACCCTCACTGGCTTTTCTAAAATAAAACCACACACGTAATTAAGAAAAAAAGAAAGAGCACTGTATCAGGAAAGTCCAACAAGACACTTCAAACCCAGATACTCAATGAGGCTTTGCATCAGGTTATACTCTAAATCTATGATTCAGTTAAACGAAACCCAGCAAACTTTCAATGAACTAAAATCAGCCAAAATTTCCAACTCCTTTTTACCTTTTCTTTGACATTCACATAAAACGGTAAGAAAAATATAAGCAAACAAGCCGTCAGGAATTGAATTTTGAAAGATAAAAACCACAATTCTTCCAATTGCTTTCTGAACTTGGCAAATATTCAATTCAATATCCTACGGAATCTACCACTCCGGGTTTTTTCTCCCTTCCCAAAGTACTGTATCGTTACTCCTGCTTTGCTGGCACTGTGTTCTGTCTTCTACCAGGACTGTACTTACTCTGCCACCCTCCCTCGTATCTTCCATTCCGCAGAACCTAAACTGCACGCATCCTTCAGAGTCTACTTCAGGCAGCAATTTGCTAAAGCAGCTGTGTCTACCAATGGCTGGTAATCACTAATCTCTCCTTACTCTTAAATATATAATACATATATATTTAATTTATATATAGTTTATAGATTATTAGCCTGAGCATGGTGGCTCACGCCTGTAATCTCAGCACTTTGAGAGGCCAAGGCAGGAGGATCACTTGCATCCAAGAGTTTGAGACCAGCTTGGGCAACACAGCAAGACCCTCTCTACAAAATGTAAAATAAAGAAATGATCTTTAGAGTGATTTCATGCATGCTTCTGCTGTGGCCAATTCACAAGTTTACCATGAGTCCCATGCAGATGTGTTAGGAATGCTAGATGTGGCTGGTCAATTCTACTAGCATCACTATTACCAATCCTTCTTGGTGAGAAAACTCTGCAATAATGTAAAATCCTGACTCAAAGAACATTTAAATTATATTTACTATAAAGTGTATTTATTAAGGCAACAAAAGAACTAAATCATTTTTAAAATAATTTTTTAGCAAATGGTGGAACAAGACAGGTTAACTCTAGCAATAGACAATTAAATGATCCAGAAGACTCTTATTTTCTGGGCATTTTGTTATTTTAAATTTCAGGGTGCCGGGCGCAGTGGCTCACGCCAGTAATCCCAGCACTTTGGGAGGCCGAGGCAGGTGGATCACGAGGTCAAGAGATCCAGACCATCTTGGTCAACATGGTGAAACCCTGTCTCTACTAAAAATACAAAAAATTAGCTGGGCATGGTGGCGCGTGTCTGTAATCCCAGCTACTCAGGAGGCTGAGGCAGGAGAATTGCCTGAACCCAGGAGGTGGAGGTTGCAGTGAGCCGAGATCGCGCCATTGCACTCCAGCCTGGGTAACAAGAGCGAAACTCCCTCTCAAAAAATAAATAAATAAAAAATAAATTTCAGGGTATTTATATTCATTATAATCAGCTTATTCATTACGTAAATACAAATTGTTCTGATTACATTAAATTAAGGCAATGTATAATTCAACCAAAACAGGAATAAGCCTAGTGAAGGGGGTCCTTTGCTTTTCTAGACTCAAAAGAAACAAAAAACCTGCCACTTTGGTGCTGTCCATCTGGAAGTGTTGTTTGGTAGTGAGGACATGAGCCAGAAATTTAAGTTACCATCTTCTCTCTCTGTAGCAGTAAACAACTAAAATGCCCAATTTTCCTAAATAAACTTACCCCTCATAGTGATATTGTTAAAAGCTAATTAAAGCTTATGGACCATATAATATAGTAATAATCTCTGTCAACAGATGTGTCAATACAGTAGAATCAATAAATTTTGGAGGATTTGTTTTATATAAATTGTTCAGTAATAAATAAAAGACGGCGCGGTGGCTCATGCCTGTAATCCCAGCACTTTGGGAGGCCAAGGCGGATGGAACACGAGGTCAAGAGATCGAGACCATCCTGGTCAACATGGTGAAACCCCGTCTCTATTAAAAATACAAAAAATTAGCTGGGCACGGTGGCACGTGCCTGTAATCCCAGCTACTCAGGAGGCTGAGGCAGGAGAATTGCCTGAACCCAGGAGGCGGAGGTTGCAGTGAGCTGAAATCGCGCCATTGCACTGCAGCCTGGGTAACAAGAGTGAAACTCTGTCTCAAAATAAATAAATAAATAAATAAAAGACTTGTGTCCATGTGGACACAAAGAAGGGAACAACAGACACTGGGGACACTGGGGCCTAGCTGAGACTAGAGTGGGAGGAGGGGAGGATTGCAATTTACCCATATAACAAACTTGCACATGTACCCTTGAAACTAAAAGTAAATAAAATAAAATACAGTTACGTGCTGCATAGCAACATTTCAGTCAACAACGGATTACGATGGTTGTCCTTATCATAATGGAGCTAGAAATCCCTATTGCCTAGTGACGTCATGACGTTGCTGCTAAATGCATCACTCCCGTGTTTGTGGTGATGCTGGTGTGAGCAAACCCACTGCACTGCCAGTCATATAAAAGCACAGCACATATTGGCAAGGCGCGGTGGCCCACACCTGTAATCCCAGCATTTGGGGAGGTCAAGGCAAACAAGTCGCTTGAGCCCAGAAGTTCGTGATCAGCTTGGGCAATATGGTGAATCCCTCTCTCTACAAAAAATACAAAAATGAACCAGGTGTGGTGGCGTGCACCTGTAGTCCCAGCTACCTGGGGAGGCTGAGGTGGGAGGATGGCTTGAGGCAAGGAGGTGGAGCCTGTAGTGAGATGACCACTCTACTCTAGCCTGGCCAACAGAGAGAGAGACCCTGCCACACACACACAGAAAAAAAGTATACCACATACAACTATGTACAGTATATTATATTTCATAATGATAATAAACAACTGTTACTGGTTTTTGTAGAAAACAACAAAGTTAAAAGACTTACACTTCTCCATTTGAAACCTTACTACAGGCTGGGCACAGTGGCTCATGCCTGCAATTCCAGCACTTTGGGAGGCCAAGGTGGGCGGATCACCTGAGATCAGGATTTCAAGACTAGCCTGGTCAATGTGGTGAAATCACATCTCCACTAAAACTACAAAAATTAGCTGGGTGTGGTGGCACATGCCTGTAATCCCAGCTACTTGGGAGGCTGAGGCAGGAGAGGCAGGAGAATTGCTTGAACCCAGGAGGCAGAGGTTGCAGTGAGCTGAGATCTTGCCAGTGCATCCCAGCCTGAGCAACAAGAGTGAAACTTTGTCTCTCTCACACACACACACACACACAAACTTACTACAAAAGTAAAGTATTCAAGATCATCTGATACTGGTGTAAGGGTGATACATAGATTAACAGAATAAAATTGAGAGTCCAGAAATAAATCTTTATATTTGAAAATCTTAATTTTCAACAAGAGTGCACGATGACTCAAGGAGGAAAGAAAGATGGTCTTTTTAATACATGGTGGCAGAATACTAAATAATCACATACAAAAGGATGAAGGTGGACCCTTGCCTTCCACCACATATAAGAACTAAAATGAGTGCAAAGTCCAGCCATAAGAGCTAATTACGAAACTATTAGAAGAATACACAGGTGTCAGTCTTCGTGACCTTGGACTGAGCAGTAATTTCTCAAATACAAACACCTGCACCGCGAGCAACAAAAGAAAAAGTAAACAGATGAACCTCGTCAGAATTAAAAACTGCGGTGCTACAAAGGACACGATTGAGAAAGTGAAAAGACAACAAAGACGGCGGAAAATATCTGCAAATCGTATTTGAAAAAGGACTTATATCGACAGAACTCTTACAACTCAATAATAAAAAGACAAAATAATCCAATGTAAGAGATAAATTGGTGGGGCACGTGGGCTCACATCTGCAATACCAGCATTCTGGGAGGCCGACGTAGACAGACTGCTTGAGCTCAGGAATTGAAGATCAGCCTGGGCTACACAGGGAGACTATTTCTCTACCAAAAAAATACAAAAATGAGCTGGGGGTGGTGGCAGCTACTCAGGAGGCTGAGGGTGGGAGGATTGCTTGAGCCCCGGAGGCGGAAGTTGCAGTGAGCCATGATTGCGCCACTGCACTCCAGCCTGGGTGACAGAGACTCAATCAGTGAATCAATCAAAGATTTTAGCTATTTGGTATAGCAAAGTACTACTATCACAAATATATTAAATAAACAAATTAAAAAGATGAATAAACTTCCTAATTCTATATTACGGAAGTACATGAGAGGAAAAGTAACAGCTAAGAGAGTTCTCGACGTTAACACCAGGAAGTGAGAAAGTACGAAACATCATCAGTTTCTGTGTTCACTTCCGTTTTACTCAAGTGGAAAATTCTTTGTCTGCATTTATTATTGTGTTTCCAAAAACAAAGAGAGAAACAATTCAAATTTTAAAAATATAAACTTTGAAAAACTACTGATAAACCATACCATCTTTCTCATGTTCTATTTTTGAATGTGTGTATGAGGGAGAGAAAGGAATATGAATACAAGCTAAATACACCATTTTAGAAATTTTTAAAAATAGACAAGTTGCTTAAAAGTTGTAGCAATGGTTATCTTAATATTTTTTCTATAAATGGAAGGTTTTCTAAAATTGCAATATATTTATGGTATCAACGTTTTAAGACAAAATTGAATTAAATTACAAAGATTTCCATCCAAACAGAAAAAAATCCTAATGTCTGTTTTAGGCAACATAGAGGAGTTTCAAGCAACACAGAGTTGCCTAAACTGTATGTTCTGGGCAAAACGCCATTATGTTTTAAGCAACATAACTTGGATTTTTTTTTTTAATGACTGTAGAAAGCGCTACCCCTTGTTGTCACATGCCAATTTCTCATTATGCAAGGCTCTGCCAGGCTGAAAGTTACTATTCATTCATGAAGAATAAGATTATTAAGATTAAGTGACTACAGCCTAACCCAGGAAATAAAATTATTATTTATTATTAGATTGCAATGAATATTTTGATCCAATTCCATATATTTATAAAAACTGGTATAAACTCTCCACGTTTTAATCTTGGCACCAGATTCTGATAGCAAAAGTTTGAGGGAGCACTTTAAATTTAAAAGTTCAAGGCCTACTTTGTCAGTGGAGATAAAATATTGATTAAAATAAAGCCCCTATATTTGAACATAGTATAGCATAAGAGAGCAATGTAGGGCCGGGTGCGGTGGCTCACGCCTGTAATCCCAGCACTTGGGGAGGCCGAGGCGGGTGGATCACGAGGTCAAGAGATGGAGACCATTCTGGTCAACATAGTGAAACCCCGTCTCTACTAAAAATACAAAAAATTAGCTGGGCATGGTGGTGCGTGCCTGTAATCCCAGCTACTCAGGAGGCTGAGACAGGAGAATTGCCTGAACCCAGGAGGCGGGGGTTGCGGTGAGCCGAGATTGTGCCATTGCACTCCAGCCTGGGTAACAAGAGAGAAACTCCGTCTCAAAAAAAAAAAAAAAAAAAAGAGAGCAATGTAAATGTATTCATATCAATGTTAGTCATAAATAAAGCATTACAAAATTCATACAAGTACATAACATCCATTTCTCAAATTTGCTGGGAACGTTTTGAGTATTCTAAAGGCTTGTAAAAGATTCATTTTGCAAATGCAAACAAAGTTACCTGTTAATACAAGTCTCTCCTACCAATTGTTTAAAATTTCCTAAGGCCCTTTCAGAAAAGCAAACATGGCTTCCCTAGGAGGCTAGAGAGGCTTCTCTGAACATCCTGGCATTCAAGCCTACAGACTGACAACTGAACGGTAATTTCTTCCTCACGTGGCCCTACTCCTTTCCTGCCCTCATTAAAAAAGTAAGCCCTTGCTCCTCATTGTAAAAAGAAAATTTAAAACATTAAAATTTAAAAAAAAAGAGGAAGAAAAAAATGTGGACCTATGTTCAGCTCCAGTCATTTGGGTCTCTAAATTAGTGCCAGGAAAATGCTGGCATTGCACGTGGAAACCATGAAGATGCAAGTGAAGAACAGCCCGCACTCATCTGGGCACTCTGGGAATTCAGGTTTGAGAACATACAAGTCCTAAACTTGAAATTCTGAATTAGAAATTAAGGTGTTTTTTGTTTTTTTCTTTCAAAATTAGACCCACTGCATGAAAATGCATATGAGCCAATGACATCACTGACAGGAAAACCCAGTGCAATGTGAGGCTGAGCTGTGAAGGGCACAGTGCCCAGTAGGGGCACTACTCAGACTTCACTGCAGAATACTGTGCCAGGTCCTGAGCACAGGCAAAAACCAGGCGCTGACAAAAAGGGTCACGTCCACTGCCCAGAAAGAAAAAACAGTCTTGTTTTTGGAAAGGTTTGGAAGCCACAACCATGCCTGCTGAGGTCCAGGTGAAGAAAGGACTGTTGAACCTTGAAAGGGACGTGATGATAACCATGTAGCAAAGACTTCATTTACCTGGTGAGCACGGTCAAGGTCAGAAGGGTATGTACGTGTGTGTGTGTGTGTGTGTGTGTGTGTGTGTGTGTGTGTGTGTTTGAGATAGGGTCTGGCTCTGCTGCCCAGGCTGGAGCACAGTAGTGCAATCACAGCTCACTGCATCTTCTGCCTCCTGGGTTCAAGTGATCCTCCCACCTCAGCCACCTGAAGGGATGGGACCACTGTGCCTGGTTAATTTTTGTGTTTTTTGTAGAGACAGGGTTTTGCCATGTTGTCCAGGCTGGTCTTGAACTCCTCAGCTCAAGCAATCAGCCTACTTCCCAAAGTATTAGGGTTACAGGCGTGAGCCACCTAGCCCAGTGGAGATAGATCTGGTTACATTAATCATATTCCACAGTTAACCTTAAAACTGTAGAATGGTGTAACTGCAACATACCAGAAACAATCAAACACAACTAGATGTCCATCTGTTAGAGATGTTGTGTTACCATGGAAATTTCTATGTTACCTTTCATATTTATATGTTCCCATGTAATATTTCCAGGGACTAATGGGAATTTCATTTTTGAAACTTTTCTAAGATATGATTTCTGCTTCTAAGCAATGGCTTCCTGGTTTTCCATCTCTAATTTAAATTCCTTCATTATGAAAAGGAAATTCAGTATCTGCTATTAAAAGCAAAGAGTAAAAAATACAGAAAACGTAGCATGTTGGTAAGAACAAGTTATCCTTATTGAAGGATAATGAAAAGCCTAATGAAGAGAGTTATTGTTGAGGGTCCTCTTGGTTATATCCATGAAATTCATGGAGAGCCTTAATTACTTCATTTGTAGAAATGAAAAAAGACAGCACATTTATCACTCTACTAAGTCTTACTACATAATCAAAACTAATCTCATGACTGCCTGAAAGGAAATATAATTCCAAGTTCCAGCTGTGTTTCGAATCAGCAGTTTCATAGTGAGGTCCCCCTGATGCAAGAGAAGACCTACTTTCTGGCCTAATAGGGAAACCCAAGGCTTTTTTGAAAATGTATATTCCTATTATAGACTTTAAACTACAGGATGTATCACAAAATGAGCTCTCATTTTCCCCTACTACAATCAAAATAATAAAAGGCATGGTCTCCATAAGAATTCTTTATCTTGGCTGGGCTTGGTGGCTCATGCCTGTAGTCCCAGCACTTTGGAAGCCCAGGTGGGTGGATCACTTGAGGTCAGGAGTTTGAAACCAGCCTGGCCAAAATGGTGAAACCCTGTCTTTACTAAACTTATAAAAATCAGTGGGGCGTGGTGATGCACGCCTGTAATTCCAGCTACTAGGGAGGCTGAGGCAGGAAAATGGCTTGAACCCGGGAGGCAGAGGATGCCGTGAGCAGAGATCTCGCCATTGCCCTTCAGCCTAGCAACAACAGCAAAAACTATATCTCAAAAAAAAAAAAAAAGAATTATTTATCTTAGGTGGTGGCAAAGAGAAGAACATATACATTCTAAGCTGGAATGATTTCTGTAGTTGTTTTAATGCTTCCCTAGCTTTTTTGTCTCCATGACACTCATCTACTATAACGGTGTATTTCTTGTTCATTCATTTGTTGTCTGTCTCCTGCTACTGTGAGCTCCATGAAGCCAGAGACTCTGTCTTTTAATCACTGATGCATCCCCAGTACTTAGGATAGTGTCTGGCATTGATTCTCTAGAAATATTTTTTGAATGAAGGAAGAAAGGAAAGAAGAAATGTGCACAAGATAAAAGAACACTGAATATTTTCAGGCTGGAAATGGACCAATTTCTTGGCTTAGAATTATGTAGGAGGGTACAGACAGAAAACTATATTCATGTTTCAAATGACCAAATCATAACTAAAATCTAACTGGGGGGGGAGGGAAGGCAGATATTTAACTTACTTTAGGAGTCTATAATATGCAAATCGGAACATTTCTTGGATAAAGACCGAGACCAATGCTCCAAAGATAAGCAGATATTTCTGTATGGGTCCATCTTTGTTGTCAGTAATAACTCTTGCCATGAACCAAACAAGCGACGAAATCAGCAGAGACACCAACCAGAAGAAAGCTCTGAAAAACGGGGGAAAAAAGTTACGAGTGAACATCAGTACAGGATTAGTAATGATCTAAAGGCGGGGAAAAAACCCTGCTTGAGAAGGAAGAGATTTCTTGACTTTTTAATAAGGGATGGAAAAACGTCCTCATAAAGTGTTGCTTTTCATCAGTTGTTATTAAAGGTGTCTTTTCCTTAGTGAGACAAACATGTTCCAGAGGAATGGTGAGATTTCCCAACAGTTCCTTTCTTCAGTAACCCTGGTATTTGCTGGTACGTCTGCACTCTGTCTGCCAAGGACCGTCTAGCTAGAAACTTGGTTATTTGGTACCCTTTCTAATCAATGCTCTGCCCATTGATGAGGCAAAGCAAGAAAATATACAACCTTGATTACTGCCATTTTCATATCCTTAAAACCTACAAGAAATCACAGATTACTGGTCAGATATCTGCAGAGGTGAGCATCTTTTCCAGAAAAATACCTACATCTCTATTAATAAAGTGATTAGTATAAAATTCAACTTGAAAACCTGTGTTCTGATCTGGGTGAGTACCCACGCCCTCCAGGTCTTGCAGCACCCCCGTGGATTCCAAGGATTGTAGCAAGCTTTACAAACCTTTTCCCAAATCTCTATTATTTTTTAAATGAAATGTAACGAAGCACTTGGAAAACGTTTGTGGGAGGTGAAGAAACACAGAAAAGTGGGAATCACTGGCCTAGTCTGGTGCCAACAGAGAATCACGGGGGTGGGGAGGACGACGACGTGGTACGTGCAAGTAAGAAGCAGGTGACAACTGGGATGGGACACCAGAGTTCCGTATTTATCAAGCTCCCAGAAGGAGATGCATAGTCAGGTGCTTCGGTATTTTTACAGGTTTCCATTACTTTGGCTGCACTCCCGAATCATCCAAAAAGAGCAAAAAAAAAAAAAAAAAAAAAAAAAAAAAAAAATCTGAAGCCCGAATCCCACCTCCTAGACATTGTGACTCAATGGATCGGGGTGGGGGTGGGCATCGGCATGTTTTAAAGCACCTGGCCCCAGGTGATTCTAATTGGCAGAGATCGCGCACTACCATCCTAGACGCCAACGGTTCTTAACCCTTTGGGGATTACAGATGCCTTTGAGAATGAGGGAAATTAGGGACTCTCCCTCCAGAAAATGAAGGATGCAGAGAATGCATATATGAACTTATCCATAATTTTTTTTTATACTTTAGTGGCTTCACGGCTCACTAAACCCACCCATGGGCCCCAGGCAAAAGGCCCTGACCCCCTGCGCTTATTCCCAGGAGGGCGAGGCGCCTCGGGTAGCCGGATCTCCGCTCTCCCCCTGTCAACCCTCCTCCCGTCAGAAACGCAACAAGGTCGAGCCGCGCGGTGCGGGCGCCAAGGGTCGCGGGTAACCCCGGCGGGAAAGGGGAGCCCCGGCGTCCGCGTTTCCCGGCGCAGTCGCCTCACCCGGCGATGAGGAAGATGATACGCAACGGCTCGGTGGCGATGGTGAAGACATAGAGGGCGAGCGCAGGCCCGAAGGCAATGAAAGCGCAGCCGAAGAAAACGGCCGCCGTCATGGCGACCGCGGAAGCCGACCCGGGGGCCCGTAGGGGACGCTAGATGCTCCCGGCGCTGGTGGGGTTCAGTAGGTGGGGCTCGTGGGCGGGGCCGAGCGGGACGCTAGGGGAGAGGCGGGGCACGGGGCGGGGGCGGGGTTCGTGGGGCGGGGGCGGGGCTGAGCGGGCTTGTGGGCAGGCACGGGGGCGGGGCTGAGCGGGCTTGTGGGCTGGGCACGGGGGCGGGGCTGAGCGGGGCTCGTGGGGTGGGCACGGGGCGGGAGCGGGGCTCGTGGGGCGCGGGGCGGGGCTGAGCGGGGCTCGTGGGGCGCGGGGCGGGGCTGAGCGGGGCTCGTGGGGCGGGCACGGGGCGGGAGCGGGGCTCGTGGGGCGCGGGGCGGGGCGGGGCTGAGCGGGGCTCGTGGGCGGGCACGGGGCGAGGGCGGGGCTCGTGGGGCGTGGAGCGCGGGGCGGAGGCGGGGCTCGTGGGGCGCGGGGCAGGGGGCGGGGCTCGTGGGGCGCGGGGCGCGGGGCGCGGGGCGCGGGGCGGGGGCGGAGCTCGTGGGGCGCGGGGCGAGGCTGGGCGTGGAGGCAAAGCACGAGGGCCTTAGGGACGGGGCGGGGCGTGGGCTGAGGGCGCCCCTACCGGCTGAAGGTCGGAAGCGCGAACCCCACCGTTGGGCCTTCCGCCCTAGCCGGTGTCCGGAAGCGCCCGGGCCACGCCGCAGCTGCTTATCCGGAGGCTGGCGCCCTCGGCGACGTTAGGGCCAGAGCCATCGCCCGCATGCCTGCAGATACACCCGGATCGGGTCCCAGTGCGGGCCGCGAGGTGGCTAAGAGAAGGGGAGCTCGCTAGCTCACCTTTGAGCCGCATGCACCGAGAACAGGCAGAGATTCCAAATCAACTAAAGAGACTAAAGGAAAACGTACTGCAGGCACTGGCAGGATTCCTTTTTAACTAGTCTTTTGTTTAAAGCACATTTTACCGTTTGGATAGTTGCGGGAAGTTCGTGCTGCATCCTGTATAAAAACTAGGCTGGGATAGCAGTGACCCCGGTGATAATCCACAGATGGTAAAATGATGAACTAGTGGTGGAAGAAACTGCCCTTCTCAGAGCCGTTTTGGCCAAAAATTTTTCCCCTCAAATCTTCAGAAAAGTTGTTTTTGCAGGCATTCTGTGACCACCCTGCAAGCAAGAGTGACATCTCCCTGGTCTGTCCTCTCACAGTGGTCCATTTCACTGGCTTAACTTTCTTCCACGTTGAAATGTGAACCCCCTCCTCCCGTCCGAAATGCAACAAGGTCCAGTTGCGTGGTGGGGGCGCCGAGGGTCGCGGGTAACCCCGGCGGGGGAAGGGAGCCCCGGCGTCCGGGTTTCCTGGCACAATCGCCTCCCCCCGCGATGAGGAAGGGTCAGGGACTTTGGGGACAGGGACTTTGCTTTGCTGTTTGTTTCCTCAGCACCTAGAAGTTCATTAATATCTGTTCAATAAGTGAAATAAAAAGTGGAAGTTATAAACATCTACTTTATATTAACAATTTCTAAAAGGTTAAAAATTAAAACAAGTTCTCTGATCATTCACATCCAAGTTAGATTTTTCTTTAAGTTTAACAATAATACTTCGTTGCTTATTTTGATCAACGTGCCTGACACAGATAAGTGTTATGTAAGTGTTAACCACTCACTCCTACACCTTCTTTAATGCCCATCATGAGTAAAGATTCTGGGCCAGGCACAGTGGCTCATGCCTGCAATGCCAGCACTTTGGGAGGCCAAGGTGGGCGGATCATCTGGCCAATATGGTGAAACCCATCTACTAAAAATACAAAAATTAACCAGGTGTGGTGGCAAGTGCCTGTAGTCCCAGCTACTCGGGAGGCTGAGGCAGGAGAATCACTTGAATCTAGAAGGTGGAGGTTGCAGTGAGCCAATATCGCACCACTGCACTCCAGCCTGGCAACTGAGCGAGATTCCATCTCAAAACAACAACAAAAAAAGATGTTGGTAATCCACATTAAAAAAACAAACAGCAGTAGACAAAAATTGGGACCTGACAGATGTTTTGCAGCTCACCTCTGAAAATGGACTTTCAAATAATGTAACTGCAGGTATTCTTACAGAAAAACGTCATCTTTGCCCATTTAAAAGTCATATATATTTTCAGTTTACTCCCACAGAATAATCCTTCAGATGCCAGTGACTGTAATTTGAATGGTCGTATCCAGCACAACACCTGTCAAAACTCAGGTTGAGACAACAGTTCAGAGTGACAGATCTGCTTTGTAAAGATATGGAAAGTGAGATTCCAGACTGGAGGTCGTCAGTGTAACGCAGGCATGAGATGGCAGTGGCCTGAATCCGGGATTTAGCAGGACTCTGGAGGGAAGCAGACAAATTTAATAGAAGTTTAGGAATTGTACAAACAGAATTTAGTGACTAGTGAACTACGTAGAGTGGGACGGGGAAGAATCAAGGATGAGGGCTTCTGGAGGTTTCAGGCTTAAGTGAATGCTGTGGAGACAGAAGGAGGAGAGAATATGGCAAAGTAGACCCAATAATGGGGACCATTTTGTTATTTTGTTGTTTTGGAGACAGAGTCTTGCTCTGTCACGCAGGCTGAAGTGCAGTGGTGCGATCGCAGCTCACTGCAACCTGGCTTCCTCCTGGGTTCAAGTGATTCTCCTGCCTCGGCCTCCTGAGTAGCTGGGACTATAGGCATGTGCTATGTCCCAGAGATTGGGGAGGCCTGTAAGATATTTAACAAAGATTAAAATTGTGTAAGATAAGAACCATAATAAAGATCATATAATAATGGGAGGCCAAGATAGGAGGATTGCTTCAAGACCAGCCTAGGCAACATGGTGAAACTTGGTTTCTACAAAAAATACAAAAATTAGGCCGGGTGCAGTGGCTCACACCTGTAATGCCAGCACTTTGGGAGGGCAAGGCGGGCAGATCATCTGAGGTCAGGAGTTTGAGACTGACCTGGTCAACATGGGGAAACCCCATCTCTACTAAAAATACAAAAAGTTAGCTGGGTATGGTGGTGCATGCTTGTAATCCCAGCTACTCTGAAGGCTGAGGCAGGAGAATCGCCTGAACCTGGGAGGCAGAGGTTGCGGTGAGCCAAGGTTGCGCCGCTACACTCCAGTCTGGACGACAGAGTGAAACTCTGTCTCAAAAAAAAAAAAATTTTACCCAGGCACGGTAGGCCATGCCTGTAGTCCTAATAACTCAGGAGGCTGAGATGGGAGAATCACTTGATCCTGGGAGATTGTACCACTGCACTTCAGCCTGGATGACAGAGTGAGACTCTCAAAGAAAAGTAAAGGGAGAACCAAACTGTTTTTTTTTTTTGAGATGGAGTTTCGCTCTTATTATCCAGGCTGGAGTGCAATGGCGTGATCTCGGCTCACCGCAACCTCTGCCTCCTGGGTTCAGGCAATTCTCCTGCCTCAGCCTCCTGAGTAGCTGGGATTATAGGCACGCGCCACCATGCCCAGCTAATTTTTTGTATTTTTAGTAGAGACGGGGTTTCACCATGTTGACCAGGATGGTCTCGATCTCTTGACCTCGTGATCCACCCGCCTCGGCCTCCCAAAGTGCTGGGATTACAGGCTTGAGCCACCACGCCCGGCCCAAGAACCAAACTTTTAAATCACACTTAGCTCCCAAATTGCACTTCACTTACTTCATGGGCATGTTAATTTTGATGGTGACTGAAGTTCACTGATTCTGGGTTATTATTTTGACACAGGATCTCACTTCTGTGGCCCAGGCTGGAGTGCAGTGGCACTGTCACAGCTCATCGCAGCCTAAATTCCTGGGCACAAGTGATCCTCCCACTTAAGCCTCCAGAGTAGCTGGAACTAGTGGTGCATGCCACCACGCCCGAATAGTATTTGTATTTTTTTTGTAGAGTTGGGGTTTCTTTATATTGCCCAGTCTCCAACCCCTGAGCTCAAGCGACCCACCTGCCTTAGCCTCCCAGAGTGTTGGGATTACAGGCGTGAGCCACTGTGCCAGGCGATTATTTCATTTATTGAACACCTACCCTGTGCCAGGCCCCTTACTGGGTATGGTAGACACAAAAACTAAAGACACAACTCCCACCCTTCGGGGGCTTAGAGTCTATCTAGTGGGTAAGAAAAGTAAATAGACAACTCAGATCTGTGCAGGGAGTGACACTTTGGGCATACACAGGAGGCTTTTTTTCTTCTTGAGACAGAGTCTCGTTCTTTTGCCCAGGCTGGAGTGCAGTGGTGTGATCTCGGCTCACTGCAACCTCTGCCTCCTGAGGAGCTGGGATTACAGGCATGAGCCACCAGGCCCAGCTAATTTTTTGTATTTTTTAGTAGAGACCGGGTTTTGCCATGTTGGCCAGGATGGTCTCGATCTCCCGACCTCATGATCCACCCGCCTTGGCCTCCCAAAGTGCTGGGGTTACAGGTGTGAGCCACCCTTCCTGGCCCACAGGAGGCTTCTAAGTAGAGGTGGGTTGTGGCCAAAATGTTACCACAGAAACCCTCAGTGAGTCTTTTTTTTTTTTTTTTTTTTTTTTTGAGACAGAGTCTTGCTGTGTTGCCCAGGCTAGAGTGCAGTGGTGTGATCTTGGCTTGCTGCAACCTCCACCTCCTGGGTTTAGTGATTCTCCTGCCTCAGCATCCGTAGTAGCTAGGATTACAGGTGCCTGCCACCACACCCAGCTATTTTTGTGTTTTTAGTAGAGACAGGGTTTCACCATGTTGGCCAGGCTGGCCTTGAACTCCTAACCTCAAGTGATCTGCCTGCCTTGTCCTCCCAAAGTGCTGGGATTACCATGCCCAGCCCTTCAGTGAATCTTGAAAGTAAGTGGAAGCCGGCCAGGTAAAGCAGCAGGAAGTCAGCAGAAGGAGCAACATAAGCAAAGGAATAAAATGATATGATGTGTTGGGGAACTGCAGTTACTTATGAGGTTGAAAAGAAGACTATGGGCCAGGCGCAGTCGCTCACACCTATAACCCCAGCACTTTGGGAGGCCGAGGCGGGCAGATCACCTGAGGTCAGGAGTTTGAGACCAGCCTGACCAACATGGAGAAACCCGGTCTCTACTAAAAATACAAAATTAGCCAGGTGTGGTGGTGCATGCCTGTAATCTTAGCTACTCGAGAGGCTGAGGCAGGAGAATCACTTGAACCCAGCCAAGATGGCACCATTGCACTCCAGACTGGGCAACAAGAGCGAAACTCCATCTCAAAAAAGAAAGAAGAGTATGAGTTAAGCTGTGACAAGATTTAAGGCTGGAGAGAAAGACGTGGGGATGGCAAAGGACTTTGCCATGCAAAGGAGTTTTTATCCCAAGGTTAGGCAGTACCACTAAAGCATTGTATATGGCAGGGGCAGGATAAGATGCCACCTGTAAAACTCAGCACTGCGAAAACTGAATTGGAGGAAAATAAAATTAGAGGTGGGGAGAGACTGGTTTGGAGAGGTTACAGCGATCTAGGCAGAAGCTGAGGGGACTTGAACAAAGACAGCACTAATAATGGACAAGTAAATGGAGGTAGAACCCATAGAATCTGGAGGTTGACTCAGGATCTAGACAGATGATAGCGCTACGTATTATAATGGAAAAAGGACAGGCTGCCCCCCAGGGACTGGGGTTTGCTTGTGGAAGGGGAAGAGACAACGTTGAGTTTGAGTTTCAGACACGTTGTGTGTGTGATGCACCTGTAGCAGATCTAAGGGCGGGTGTCCGGTACGACGGGAACTCTGAGATCTGGCCCTCTCGAACGTGGTCGGGTTTAGCTTTCTATTGCTGCTGTGCTAAATGACCACAAACTTAGTGACACAGAGCAGCACAAATTGAGTCTCACAGTTCTGGAGGTCATTAAGTACAAAATGGGTCTGACCCGGGCTAAAATCAAGGTGTCGGAGCAGGCTGCTTCCTTCTGGAGGGTAGGGGAGAATCCTTTTCCAGCTCCTGGAGGCTGCCCGCATTCCTTGGCGCATGGCTACGCATGGCATCACAGCATCTGCTCTCCCTCTGTGTGCGTCATCACGTGGCTTTCTTCTGACTCTTCCTGTCCTCTCATGAGAAGGAGCCCTGGGATTACACTGGGTCCACTTGGATCAGGATAATCTCCCATCTCGTGATTCTTATGTTGATCCCCTCTGCAAAGTCCTTTTTGACACATAAAGTAACATTCACAGGTTCCAGGGATTAAGGCATGGCCGTCCTTGAGGAGCGTAGGGGAAGGCGGGGAAAGGCATTTTTCAGCCTTACCATGGAAGTTATGGGCATTTAAGGAGCCATGACAAAGAGTAAAATTATCGTGCACAAGTGGGAATCAAGAGAATACTGTCACAGAAGCCAAGGAAAGAACATTTCCTGGGTGGCGGAGAGAGAAATATACCCGTGAAATGCTGCCAAGAAGTTAGCTAGGGCTGGGTGTGGTGGCTCATGCCTGTAATCCCAGCACTTTGGGAGGCCGAGGCGGGTGGATCACCTGAGGTCAGGAGCTCAAGACCAGCCTGGCCAACATGGTGAAACCCCATCTCTACTAAATATATACAAAAATTAGCCAGGGGTGGTGGTATGCGCCTGTAATCACAGCTACCTGGGAGTCTGAGGCAGAAGAATTGTTTGAACCTGGGAGGTAGAGTTTGCAGTGAGCTGAGATTGTGCCACTGCACTCCAGCCTGGGTGACAAAGTGAGACTCTGTCTCAAAAAAAAAAAAAAAAAAAAAGAGGTTAGCTAGGAACAGAACCAAAAACTGCTGCTTGCAGTTAGGCTGTCATAAGCACAATGTCGGCAAAGTGGTGAGGGGGTCGACGAACTGGAGAAGGTTAAGGAATAAAAGGAAGATGAAAAAGTGAAGATGGTAACTATGGGCACCTCTTTGAACACAGGTGCCTTTAAGCATAATAGGAAAAAGAACAGTAGGGGAGAGAGGGCCACAAGCCACAGGGTGGGAGGGTTGAGGATGCCCAGAGGCCGAAGGAAGAGCTAAAAAAGGATAAGGGTTTGAGGGTACAAGAGAAAGAGCTGTGAGATCCTTAAAAAGCAGGATAGCAGTGGGAGGATGAATTCAGAGAAGGGACAGAGAGAAGAGCCTGGGGTAAGAATGCCTCTGGCCAAGCATGGTGGCTCAGGCCTGTAATCGAGGCACTCTGGGAGGCTGAGGTGGGCAGATCACAAGGTCAGGAGATCAAGACCGTCCTGGCCGACATGGTGAAACTCTGTCTCTAATAAAAATACGAAACAAAAAAAGCTGGGCATGGTGGTGCATGCCTGTAATCCCAGCTATTGGGAGGCTGAGGCAGAAGAATCACTTGAACCCAGGAGGTGGAGATTGCAGTGAGCTAAGATTGCACCACTGCACTCCAGTCTGGGTGACAAAAGGAGACTCTGTCTCAAAAAAAAAAAAAAAAAAAAAAAAAAAAAAGAATGCCTCTGAGACCAAGAGGATGAAGGTGGACTGTAGATTAGGGAGAAAGGAGGATCAAGTGTTTTGTGACTGATGCTTTTCTCTGGAAGGAGGGAGGTGAGAGATCTGTCCATGAAGAGGGATGGGGAAGAGGCAGAAAACTTACGAATCCTGATGAAGGTTTGAAATGGCGATGGGATAAATGGGAAAGACTGAGACTGGGAACATATGCAAACGAAGTGGGAGAGTGTCAACAGTGCCGGTGCCTCAGATTCCTTTCTTTCTGTCTGAGCTGAAGTGAGAGGATCACTTGAACCTAGGAGTTCAAGATCAGCCTGGGCAACATAGTGAAACCCTGTCTCTACCAGAAAAACAAAACAAAACAAATTAGTTGAGTTGGGTAATGCCTGTAGTCCCACCAGCACTTTGGGAGGCTGAGGCAGGTGGATCACCTGAGGTCAGGAGTTCGAGACAAGCCTAGCCAACATGGCAAAACCCCGTCTCTTACTAAAAATAAAAAATTAGCTGGGCATGGTGGTATGTGTGTGCCTGTAATCCCAGCTACTCAGGAGGCTGAGGCAGGAAAATCGCTTGAACCTGGGAGGTGGAGGTTGCAGTAAGCTGAGATTGTGCCATTGCACTCCCGCCTGGGTGATAGAGAAGGGCTCCATCTACACACACACACACACACACACACACACACACACACACAAAACTGCATTTTTAAAAGTGAAGACAAAACAACAGAAACAGAAACTAAATTTGCAAAGTCTACAAAGGGTGATCAATTTAAAGCTGCGGGTTCTAACCTCAACGTATGCTGAGCTAAGTATGATGAACAGGGGATCTTCTAGGCCTTTTTTTTCTTTTGAGACAGAGTTTCACTCTTGTTGCTCAAACTGGAGTGCAGTGGCACGACCTTGCCTCACTGCAACCTTTGCCTCCTGGGTTCAAGCCATTCTCTTGCCTCAGCATCCCAAGTAGCTGGGATTACAGGCATGCACCACCATGCCCAACTAATTTTGTATTTTAGTTGAGACGGGGTTTCTCCATGTTGGTCAGGCCGGTTTCAAACTCCTTACCTCAGGTAATCTGCCCGCCTTGGCCTCCCAAAGTGCTGGGATTACAGGTGTGAGCCACCGTGCCTGACCTATTTTTCCAGGTCTTTAAACAACCCTGGGTCAGATATAACGTTTGCTAAAATAATCTCAAGTCTGCCATGGTTTGAAACATACACCTATCAAATTGCAGAAACTTTTTATTTCATTTTATTTTTTTTTCTGAGACAGGGTCTCACTCCATCACCCAGGCTGGGGTGCAATGGCCCAATCCCAGCTCATGGCAACCTCCATCTCCTGAGTCCAAGAGATTCTCCAACCTCAGTTTCCTGAGCAGCTGGGCCCACAGGCGTGCACAGCCATTCTGGGCTAATTTTCATATTTTGTAATTTTGTCGTAGAGATGGGGGTCTCACCACACTGGCCAGGCTGGTTTCTAACTCTCAACCTCAAGTGATAAACCCGCCCCAGCCTCCCAAAGTGCCAGGACCATAGGCGTGAGCCACCACGCCTGGCCCAAATTTGCAGAAACATTTATTTTTAAAATGTGCAGTCCATTTCAGAGTCATGAGTATTTTCATTTTCATTATGTAGTTTTTATTTTAGACGAACATTATTATAAAAAAAAAGTTCACCTGGAATGAAATCCATGTAAAAAAAAACACAGCATCAGTATCAGTACACAGTTAATGAATTGGCTTAAACAAGATTAACCACGTGACGGGTCCACTTATCTGCAGGAGCTTTTCACATTAAGCCATTGGAGCAAAAATAAAATATGTTTAAACTTGTACAGTAGAATAATTATAGGGAAAACTAGAGAGCTTCCATTAGGGGCATGATTTTCATCAAATAGTTTATGGTAGTTTGCATGAGAGGAACTGCAGTGTCAGCTGCAAACAAAAGTAAAACCCACCTGTAAGGCCACAGAAATGAACTACTAAATTCACATTTTTTAGAAAGGTAAGAAAGGTAAGTTCTATTAGTTTATTGGCACAAGAAATGCAATTGCATATGGCACACGCATTTCAAGAAATGAAGTAAAATCTGAAAATATCCCTAAAATAATTGTTTGCTAATCTTTATTTCTCTACATTTCAGCCATTTAGATTTTTTCATAGTGAACATGACAGCCATTAATTTTATTAGTCTAAAAAAAAAAAGACTGATTCTACTCTAAAATTGTGCTAGAATTTGAAATTCTTTTAGCATATCCTGTCTGTCTAGGTCCCTCTATATCAAGGGATTTCATTTTTAGACATTCCTTTCTGCCTACCCCTGCACTCCCTTTGGATGTAACAGGGGAAAAGGAATGTCTTTTCTGTTAAAAAAAAAAAAAAATCGAAGAAACCTGATTGCAGAAATGAGTGCTTAAAATTTACAGTAAGTAAACCAACATAAGAAACGTGGTTTTAAATTTTTAAGCTTAGAAGCTCATCTTTAAAGACTGACAACTAAATTTGTAAAGGAATCTAAGTCATGAACTTGAAAAGAACGTCTGCTTAGATGTGTCACCTACTGATCACAGGAAAAGCTTTAGAAGCCTTAATACAGACTCACAGCATCAGAACCTGTAGAATGGAGTTATAATCTCTTACTTAGAAACTTCTGCAAAAACGCACCTATATTGCACAGCTAAATTTATTAATGGAGGCAGGGAGATAATACATTTTTTAAGCTACTAGATATGACATGTATGCTCTATTCTAAACTAGTAATTCCTACTTTTCCCAATGATGTCTTCAGTTCAAAACAAAACAATCTAAATTTTGTTAGATGCTTAAAGGCTGGCTCACTGTTTTTCTACCAGGTATGAGAATACTCGTTAGCTAAATGAGGTATAATTGAAAAATAGTCCTTCAAAGTAAAGAGTAGTCCTCTGAAAATTTATAACAAAGACTGCACAAAATGTTTATGTAAATAGTAAGAAACCCTGCAGCACCTACTAACTGATGCACAGGTAGATTATTTTATCATAATCCGTCTGAAGTAAAATATAGCTAAAATAAGTTCCCAGTGAAACATTTTACAATCAACTGATTTACATGCTACTTAGTTACAGCACATTTTCACTGTCTGATACCCTCCAACTCTACTTGAAAGGTCTAGTCCAACCATGGTCAAAAAGTAATACACTGATAATAAAGTGCAGCCACTGACCTTCTAATACTGCTGCAAAAATCTTCAGGTACCGTATCCATAAGACCACAAAAAGGTTCACAAAAAACTAGATTTCTTCAGTTTCAGCAGGGAACAGACAATTATCTGTCATTAAATTCATCTACAAATAGAAAAAATAATGCACTATATGTACATTATTAAGCAAAGGGGAATATTTATTGGGTCATTTTACCATGCAGAAAGTGAATTTCCTAAGGTCTTAGCTCAATGTATATACAATTTAGCAAAGCTAAATGTAAGAAAATAGCAAGGACGATTTATTTCTAAATAACAGAGCATATCCTCCCAATGCGCTGCTACTTCAAAGAGCACTTTTAGACTCTTCTAACTTTTACAGGCTCTTTCAAGTGAAGTTCATGGAGACTAGTTATTAATCCATATAAGACAAAAGAAGAAAAAAGAAATACAACCAAATCAAAGCATTATGTTAAAAATAATAACAAAAGCTAACCACAGAATATGTCAGTTTTGGTTTGCAGACAACCCTGAGATTATATAAACCAAAGTGTTAAGACACCAAATAGTCAGAGGTAAATTACTGAGAGAATTACATTCATACATGGTGTCATAGCACTTGTCTTTTAGAAAGTACTTTTTTACCATCCAGAAAGCTTAACTGCTTGGATTTTTTTCAGGAAATAGTAAATATAAGATGTTTCTAAAAAAGTATGTTTTCCTTTTGAAAATGTATTTAATTTTAAGACAGTAAAATTACAATCAACTTTCAATGACAGAACTACTAATTATACTAGAACAGCAATGGATGACTTTTAAGCCTATAGGTAATTACCAAAAAAAAAATGACAGAGGCTGAAATTTGTTAACAAGTTAATATGTCTATTAAAAATAGCCTGGGAATATTTGCAGCTGCTAAATTCTTCCTATATTTTCAAATAAGTGTGAAAGATTGACTGGTCCAAGCATTCTAATGCCGCATCTTAATTTGAAGAGAACTCTCTGTGGTAAGAAGCAATCCCTTTCTGTTTCCATCTCCTGTTCCTATCCAGCATGATAGTAGCCTTCGTGAAGCAAAGCAGGTATGCCAGGAAGAATAACGAACAGAACTCATTTCCCTCATCCCCTCTGTATCATCCCTTGCTGTGCTGGGACACTGAAGGCTGGAGTAACAGCCATGACATAGTGATCTGAATTTGCTGTGTAAGTTAACACTAAATACCTCGCGATGGTTCCATCTACAAAAAGTATACCAGTGCCAGTGTTTGTTGAAAAAGGCAACTAAGCTTGTGGTTGGCTGTAGCCCAAATGACTGGACTAAGTTCTGTAACAATGAACTGAACGGGTGGAACTGGGTTCTACACATCCAACAACAGCTGCTTTAAAACTGAAACCTTGGTCCTATTTTCTCTAATGAAAAGAGTTTTCCTAGAGGCGGCACTAGGTCTAAGTACTTTTATTTCTAAAAATACCCCCTAAATAAAAACAACCAAAAATCACTATTTTCACCATTACCAAGAGCTAGCTCTATTAAGTTTGTATCAACAAGTTAATCTCCCTCTCTACAGGTAAGCTTTCCATAAACTAACACCTACAACATCTTGTTATGCAAACTAACATCTACCTAACTCTTGTTAACTTTTGTGGACAGGGATTATGGTCGGAATTTGGTATTACAACTAAACCAGTCAGCTAAGGAATGAAGCTAAGAAAAAATATGTTACATATCCTATTGACAGAACCGCAGTCAGATGCTGCACTCAAACTCTAAATGGTTCATCTCTCAGCCCGCATAAAACTTCAGCTCAAGAAGTTCACAGATAGAAACAGATAATAATGTTCAAATATGCTGTCAGTTTTAAGTAACTGAATGATTACAGTAAGTCAGACATGAGAAAGAATAGCAAATACAAACCCCAAGGAAAAACGAGATTGTGATTATTTTCAAATGCAGTTTCTATAGATCAGGCAGAGGTAATCATTTTAAAAAAGTGATTCGTTCAGCTACCCAGACTCTGGCAAACAGGTCAGGGATGAGGCAAAGCTCTTAACGATCTGAAGAAATAAAGAAACTGTGGCCTTTGATGACTAGATGGGCATTTCGGTAAATTTTAAAAATGAATTTAATGATTTTTCTTCAAGAAAAAGCCCTTAAATAAATGCTACCAAGGTAGTCATATTTGACCTTATGAACCAGACCAAGCACCCTTTAATTTTAGTATATTAACCTCTGCTCTAAATGCTCTGCTTTTAACATCACCAAATGTACAAATTTGCCCAGAACTTCGTGACACAAAAGTGTGCAAATGTGAGTCTAAGATTGTGCTGAAATAGGGAAAGGGTAACTAACGCTGATGTGCAAAGTGAAAAAGAAAGGTAACAGCTTCTGCGACAGGTAATAAAACAAGGAAAATACAAGTTAGGTCCTGCATGTGTCTCCACTTCACTGCTTCCATGTTTGAAGAAAGGAGCCTGTTCTTTTGCTAGGCCATGAGGCCGGAATCCACTTGGCATTCTGTGTCGAGAGGTCTAAGCTCAGTGGTGCTCTCAGCAGCAGCCAGGAGGTGTGATTCTGAGGCTGGGTGACCTGTGCTTTCAGAGAAGCAGGAAAGGGCCCTCTAGGTGTGCTGCAGTCTCTCAGAAAGAGTTCATCAAAGTAGCGAACAACGAAAGAAACTGGTCTTCTTTGATCGGTTTTCTGTTATTTTCACTGGTCCACCTGCTCCTGCTGAATTGCTGTCATTCTGAGAAATAGAAGATAAAGTTACCAAGGAAATAAAAGTTTCATGGTTTGACCTCAGTTACCATAAAAAAAAAAAAAAAAAGAAAATAACTAACCAGATCATGTGAAATGTATATTCTAGTGAAATGTGTATTCATTCCCTGGAGTATTTTATTAGAAAGGGAACTACTTAAGCACCAATGTTGTCTTTTTCTTTGGAAATGGTGAATTGAAAAGAGGAAAATCCCCTTACAATAGCAGCTTTTATATCAATAATATATTAGATAGGAAGCTTCTATTTCTAGTTGCAATGGAGTGTACAGTTTCAAAGATAATGATGGAAACAATGTTAAGATACTGACATAGACAATTCTGTTAGAGGTAAGAAAAATGAGTAGTATATAGCGTGCAATTATACTAAGGACTCAGGATAAAAAAGCCTTTCAAGGTTGTCTTAATAATTTGTCACTGAGACAGTTTCAAATTTAAGCAAACTTTAGCAACTTCAAGGTCATAGTTACGTAGATATAAATATCTGTCACGTGAAAACTGAACTGGATAACTTGATGGCAAAAATGTAATTTGTGCTATTACTATTTTCATTATTTTCATCAAAATTCAATTAAAGATCACTTAAAGAGCCAGATGAAAGAACTGAAACAGCTGCAGTTCAGAAATAAGAATCCTCAATAAACAGAACTAAGAATCAGAGTTCAACCAAATGAGTATTTGAGTCAGGAAAAAACTGAGTTTTATGTGAATATATTATAATTAGACCTATCCTTTTCATCAAATGCCAAATAAAGAGCATAATGGAAATAAAAATTATAAGTGATACAAACCATTTTTCTGTTGAGTTTTGTCATTATATCTCGTGCAAGTGTAAAAAATGCCTGTAGGTAAAACAAAACATTTTATATATATATAAAAATATATTCACTATATATATTTATTCCCCTTCCCCCATAGATGGGGTCTTGCTATGTTGCCCTGGCTGGATTGGAACTCCTGGGCTCAAGCAATCCTCCCACCTCAGTCTCCTGAGTAGCTGGGACTACAGGTGTGAGCCACCATGCCTAACATTATTTCACTATAAATATACCACTTGAAAGTTTTACATTAAGAAAATAACAATTGTAATCATAGTTAGCACGTGTTTACTCTTTTGAGATTGTATCATAAACATTTTCCAATGTTATCAAACTATCATTCATTCATCAAATATCTCCTTCATGTATATCACATGTAATCTATCACAGTAACACACTTGCTGAGTCACGAGTAACTTCCTCAGTACACCAAAAACAGGATGGAAGCTCTGTCTAAGCTACCCCATGACCCTAGAGCAGGGCACAGTGCTGACCCAGGAGACGCTGAATATCTGGTATAATGAGTGAAAGAATAATTATGTATTATCCTATAGTTCTAATATCTGTCTTCACAAAAATCTCTACTTTTTATTTCTGACCTTTTCTTTCAAATTGCTCTCACTTTTATACCTAAATATGTATAATCTTCTGTGTCTGAACACTCCAAAATCCCAGCAGCTCCTGGAGCTCTCAGCTAAATTCCCCACCATGGAAGTCAGTTCAAAAAGAGGGCGAATCTGATTAATCTTGGTGATAATTTATCCATGATATCTCTTGATACAAACCAAGTATTTTTAAAACCTATCGTCACTTTATTTTTCTACAAAGCCAAGAACTGTTAAAGAGTCTTCATTTATCTCCATGCTAAACCCACTGTTATGTCAGCCTCTTTGTTCCCAACACTCCTGATCCCCAAAAATTCTTCACAAAAAGGATTATTTCCAACCCAATCAAATAAAAACAATGTGACAACTACTATTATTACTCACTGCCAGTGCCTCACTGTCAAACTCGTCACCGATGAGCTTAACGACACTGATTCAAAGGTCTGGCAAAGCAGTGGCCATCTGTATGCCTGGCTAGAATAAGCAGGTCAGGCAGCTCCCAGTATGAATCCATACTGCTGCAAATGATAGGATTTCATTCTTTTTTATGGCTGAATAGTATTCCACTGGGTATATATACCGCATTTTCTTTGTCCATTCATCCACTGATGGACACTTAGGTTGATATACGGATTTCCTTTCTTTTGGGTAAATACCCACCAGTAGTGAGACTGCTGGATCATATGGCAGTTCTATTTTTAGTTTTCTGACTGTTCTCCATAGTGGCTGTAATAATTTACATTCCTACCCACAGTATATGAGAGTTTCCCTTTCTCTACACTAGGATTTGTTATTGGCTATCTCTTTGATAAAAGCCATTTTAACTGGGGTGAGATGGTAGCTCACTGCAGTTTTGATATGCGTTGCCCTGATGATTAGCGATGTTGGGCATTTTTTCATATACCTGCTGGCCATTTGTTTGTCTTCTTTCGAGAAAAATCTATTCAGATCTTTTGCTCATTTTTAACTTGGAGTATTTTTAATGGCGGGAAATCCTTTTGTAGCAAGTAGAGGGAAGCATATTTCTGCTTATCTAAGCTTGTGTAAATAAATCAGTAGAGGCTTCCTGTTTCCTAACACCCACTGGCCAACCTAAACAAATAACTGTTATTTAAAACAAGGAAAAAGTTCTGATCAGTGTCCACCAGCTAATGAAGTCATGTAGGTCTCGATTTTTAACCATTAAGTTATGATGAACAGTGAGTAACCTAGGAAATTAAATGTTTATGAGACCATCAATATTATTAAGAGAATTACATGTATTAACACATATCACATGTAAATTAAATGTATTATTTTTATCATCAGTTCAAAAAAATGTTTTTATAAAAAAGAAAATATTGGGATGGGCATGGTGGCTCACGCCTGGAATCCCAGCACTTTGTGAGGCCGAGGTGGGCGGATCAGGAGATCGAGACCATCCTGGCCACGGTGAAACCTCGTCTCTACTAAAATACAAAAAAAAATTAGCCAGGTGTGATGGTGCATGCCTGTAGTTTCAGCTACTCAGGAAGCTGAGGCAGGGGAATCACTTGAACCTGGGAGACGGAGGTTGCAGTGAGCAGAGATCATGCCACTGTACTCCAGCCTGGAGACGGAGCAAGACTCCATCTCAAAAAAAAAAAAAAAAAAAAAAAAATGGAAAATATCAGGCCAGGCATGGTGGTTCATGCCTGTAATCCCAGCACTTTGGGAGGCTGAGGCGGGTGGATCACCTGAGGTCAGGAGTTTGAGACCAGCCTGGCCAACATGGTGAAATCCATTGCTATTAAAAATACAAACATGGCCAGGTGCAGTGGCTCACACCTGTAATCCCAGCACTTTGGGAGGCCAAAGTGGGTATCACAAGGTCAAGAGATCAAGACCATCCTGGCCAACATGGCGAAACCCTGTCTCTACTAAAAATACAAAAATCAGCTGGGTGTGGTGGCACGTGCCTGTAATCCCAGCTACTCAGGAGGCTGAGGCAGAATTGCTTGAACCAGGGAGGCAGAGGCTGCAGTGAGCCGAGATCCTGCCACTGCACTCCAGCAGAGTAAGAGTCTATCTCAAAAAAAAAAAAAAAAAAAGAGAGAGAGAGAGAAAAGAAAGTATCAACAGTTCTTCTTTTGGTGAAGAAAACCTATTCCTTCCTTCCTTCTTTCTTTCCTTCTTTCTTTCTCTCTCTCTCTCTCTATCTCTCAACAGTTCTTTTTGGTGAAAACTTAATCTACCTTTTCTTTCTTTCCTTTCTTCTCTCTCTTTCTCTCCCTTTTCTTTTTTGCTCTTTCTTTTTCTTTCTTTCCTTTCTTTCTCTCTTTCCTTCCTTCCCTCCCGTCTCTCTCTCTCTCTCTTTCTGTCCTGGGATACATGTGCAGAACATGCAGGTTTGTCACATAGGTATACATGTGCCATGGGGGTTTGCTGCACCCATCAACCGATCATCTACATCAGGTATTGAGGAAAATCTATTCTTGTAAGACTTCAGATGGTTTGTTTTTCCTTAACAGCCAATTTAGTGAAAATTTATTAGAGCCACTCTCTGATAAATACTCTTTCGTATTTCTACTAAATGCCACTATGTTACAATTTATTGTGCTTAATCTACCTCAAATGTGTATACTAAGGGAATATGCCCAATAAACTAACACTTTAACTCTCCCTTGAGAGTGCACAGCCCTGAAAGTGAATAACTCTTGTGCTGCAGGCACACAGGATGACGTGAATGAGCACAGCACACTGGTTGGTCTTCTAGTCCAGGATTTCCAGCTGCCCAAACAAAGCAAAACTGAACTCCTACCTTCTATCCTGTGAATCTTAACTGCACAATCTAATATAACCCAGATGGAGGCTAGATGCTAGGAATTCGACCCCAGCGTCTACATAAAAATCAGAAGCACAAAAGAGTACAGAGTGGAGGTGGGTCAACAAAAGGCATTCAATAGGTCAGAAAATGCCAAGGCTTTGAGAGCTGTTTGAACACAGGCCCCTAAGCAGCGGTGCTGCTCCATAGCAAGTCACCAAAGGCTTCCTTCTTACCTCTTCTACATTTGTACTGGATTTTGCACTTGTCTCCAAGAATTTAATCCCATAGTCAATTGCCAGCTGAAAGGCAAATAGAAATATTTCAGTTTAGCAAAAGCTGCTTGAACATACAATGCATTTATATTTCTTAGGCTGTCAAAGTCCCAAAGGTTTCAGAATTCAGAATTCCTGTGGTTCTCATATTTCTTTGTGTTCTTCTACCGTATTTGGAATTTAAGAATTTAACATAATCATCATACGAAACATGGCACAACTTCCATTAAAAACACAATTTAAGTCCGGGAGTGGTGGCTCATGGCTGTAATCCCAGCACTTTGGGAGGCCGAGGTGGGCAGATCTCAAGGTCAGGAGATCAAGACCATCCTGGCTAACACAGTGAAACCCCGTCTCTACTAAAAAATAAAAAAATTAGTCAGGCATGGTGGCATGTGGCTGTAGTCCCAGCTACTCAGGGGGCTGAGGCAGGAGAATCGCTTGAACCCGGGAGGCGGAGGTTGGAGTGAGTCAAGATTACCCCACTGCATTCCAGCCTGGGTGACAGAGAGAGACTCCATCTCAAAAATAAATAAATAAAATAAAATAATAATTTCAGTATTTATCTTTTTTTGCACTTTCAGTTCTCTAATATGGGATAAATACCCACCCTCCCAAGGCAGGAGAATAGGGTCTGGAGGCAGGGAACCTAAGGCCAATTCACACTGACTTCCTACAACTAAAGAAAAAGAAAAACCCCAGCCTTCCACGCCCAAGTAACAAAAGAACAGGGGGTACTCCCTTTTGCAACGTCCTCCCCTTTTCTGCCTCACAGATTGAAAATGGAAAGTACCTCTGATTGGTCCCCTCCCACAACCAATCAGTTTCTGCGTAGGATGTAACCTTGTAACTTCATTTCATCCTCTGATTGGACGTGGAGGGCAACCAATCAGATTGGTCATGAGCCACTACTTCATTTACATAGGGTGTAAGCCAAGTAACCCACGGGAAATTTCTAAAGGGTATTTAAACCCCAGAAAATTCTGTAACCAGTGCTCTTGAGCTGCTTGCTTGAGCCCACTCCCACACTGTGGAGTGTACTTTCATTTCAATATATCTGTGCTTTTTTTGGCTTCATTCTTTCATTGCTTGGTTTGTGTGTTTTGTCCAATTCTTTGCTCAAAATGCCAAGAACCTGGATGACTCATAGTCAAGACCCTCCACTGGTAACACTACCATTAGTTTGGGATTCATTCATTCCTTTTATCTGCTCCCAAAATATAATTCTCCAGCAGTTACTATGCTGACTTTTAGGCCAGGTGCAGTGGCTCACGCCTGTAATCCCAGCAGTTTGGGAGGCCAAGACAGGCAGATCACCTGAGGTCAGGAGTTGGAGACCAGCCTGGCCAACATGGTGAAACCCCGTCCCTACTAAAAAAACAAAAATTAGCCAGGTGTGGCAGCAGGCTTCTGTAGTCCCAGCTACTCAGGAGGCTGAGATAAGAGAATCACTTGAACCAGGGAGGTGGAGGTTGCAGTGAGCCGACATGGAGCCTTTGCACTCCAGCCTGGGTGACAAGAGTGAAACTCCGGCTCAAATGAAAAACAAAAAACTATACTGACTTTCAATGATTTTTTTTTTAACTTTTAATAAATGAGTTCAGAATAGAACAAAAGCTTAAATACTAAAGTATTCATGCTTTGATTTCTATTGATTGAGACAAACTGTGAACTCTTACATATTCCTCAAAAAGTTCCTAGTTCATTTACAACACTTAAATTAAATGAATGTTTTTAGGGGAAAAAAAGTTTGCATCAAATGTTTGCAGTCAGATTGAAAAACAAAATGTGGCCGGTCACGGTGTCTCACACCTGTAATCCCAGCACTTTGGGAGGCCGAGGCAGGTAGATTGCTTGAGCCCGGGAGTTCAAGACCAGCCTGGCCAACATGGCAAAACCCTGTCTCTACTAAAAACACAAAAATTAGCCAGGTGTGGTGGCACATGCTTATAATCCCAGCTTCTTGGAGGCTAAGGCACAAGAACTGCTTGAACCCAGGAGGCAGAGGTTGCAGTGAGCTGAGATTATGCCACTGCACTCCAGCCTGGGCAAAAGAGCAAGAAAAAGAAAAAAATAAAGAAAAGAAAATGCATTTTGCATATATAATTTTTTTTAAAGGCTAGAGCAAAATTCCAAGACTAAAAAAGTGGAGCTTCTCAGTCAATTTTGAATCTGCCGCAGAAGTAAATATGTGTACAAAATACTCTTCTGCTTTACAGGACACAGAAGAGAGAAATGCCCATAAACAGTGTATAAATGACATCCATGGCCTCATCAGTTACAAGGAATTTATCCATAAAACCTATAGCTAATGTGTAGTAAAATATTCTTAAGGAAAAAAATGAATTGGAGAAAGTTTACTGTTGAAACTTCACCTATCCTATAACTTTTTTTTTTTTCTCAAAAAGAATGAATTGCTTTAACTTAAAAAATGGGCATTTTCACACAGATCTGGAAGAAACAGCCTGAACTCTAAGCTGCAGGAATCTAAGAAAGGACCAATTTGTATCTCCCAGAAAACATTAGCAAATTCTTGAGGAATGAGTCATGACCAAGCAGTATAGGGAGCTGGATCTCGAATACTAATTCACACCATTCAAGTATGGATTACATCTCTTTGTTGCTGATATCCAATTTAAAAGGATTAAAACACGGATTAAAAAAAAACTTAAATTAATAATAAATAATATGAAGAAAAGAAATGCTTAATGTGAGCAGATTCCAACCTTTATCCATTCCATTCACATTTACCTTCTCCCCTCTTTCTTTTGACACTTGTCTTTTGTCATTCATATCACATTTGTTACCCAGGATCATTCTTTCAACATCGGAAGAGGCATGCTGCAGGGAGAAAATAGCATGCTATAAAAACAGCCTGAGAAAAACCCGTTACTTAATAGACAAATCCGACCTGTCAGAAACACATGAATTTAATAAGACAAATCATCTTTCACTCACACAGGCCTAATTCAGAGAAAAGTTTAAAGATGGGAGGAGGGGCAAAGCTACAGCACAAGGGCCCTCACAGAGCCTGTACAAACCTTATTCCGAGGTTTGGAAAGAAGGCTGAACAAACACAAATAAAGCTTATGGTGATCTAATGACAAAATTTCCAAATATTTGTTTGGGTCAAAGAAGTACAAAATCTTGGTACTGAGTGAACCAGTGGAGAAGGTATTCTGGATTCTGAACTATTTAAAAAAGAAACTCACGTAGGTTAATAGAAACGTGTACAAAATTATTTCAGAGTCAAATTTCTTTCTTAACTTGTGACAAAGACATTAAAAAATCTTAATACCAATTATCCTGGAATTAAAACAATTTCAAACATCCAAGATGGAGAAAATGTCAGAAGGGTAAAAGGTTGCCAGTTCGTAAAGAGATACTGTTGCTAGCCAAACAGCATGGTGGGACAGAGGCTGGGAACTCGATGTTTTAATCCTGATTCTTCCTTGTTTTACTTTGTTTTAGAGACAGGGCTTCTCCATGCGGAATGATGGTCAGGCTGGTCTCGAACTCCCGACCTCAGGTGAGCCACCAGCCCTGGCCTCCCAAAGTGCTGGGATTACAGGTGTCAGCCACTGAGCCCGGCCAGTTCTTCATTTTTACGGCTGTATGAGCACAGGCAAATAACTTCTTTCTGGTCTCAGTTTCTTCATGTGTAAAATGTGATCTAGGATTACACTGTTTCCCATATCTGGCCAAAGCTTAAAATCTTGTGACATTACTTCTCTGTCCCTCTGCCTCCCAGCAGTCACACTGGCAGCACCAGAGATTTATGGCGCTCTTCAGAGAGAGAGGTGTCCAACCTGCCCATGGCCTGCTTCTAAGCAGCTCAGCTGCCTTGCAGAGACAGAGGAACCTTTCACAAGCACCCAGCAGGACTCTTGTCCGATGTCACCATTCTTTCTACACATACCTCTTCAATGTTTCTGATCCAATTTTTAATATTGTCAAAGGATTTTTCATTTGTGATGTCATAGACCAGCATAATGCCCTATAAGGGGGAAAAATATTTATTTAGTACTTTATATATTTATAGTATATAATGTCAATGTACTCCTACCCTCCAGAAACCTTTTGTTTGTCCATTTTTTTGCCTTTAAAAAAGGGTTCAGCCAGGTGCAGTGGCTCATGCCTATAATCCCAGCACTTTGGGAGGCCAAGGCAGGAGAATCACCTGAGGTCAGGAGTTTGAGACCAACCTGACCACAGGGAGACACCCTGTCTCTACTAAAAATACAAAACACAAAATTAGCCAGGTGGTGGTGCATGCCTGTAATCCCAGCTACTAGGGAGGCTGAGGCAGGACAACCACTTGAACCCAGAAGGCAGATCTTGGTGGTGAGCTGAGATCTCACCATTGTACTCCAGGCCTGGGCAACAAGATTGAAACTCCATCTTAAAAAAAAAAAAAAAAAAAAAAGAGAAGGAAAGAAAGAAAAAAAAAGCGTTCATAATAAATTTGAAAAGTACAGAGAAACCAAAATCAATAAATAGATTATTCCACTGATTTCACCATGTAAATAAAAAGCCCGTTAACATTTTCACTGTTAACCTTTAATGAATTAGTGACTGTGGTAAAGGTGATACACCCTCTTTACCTGCCCTAACATGATAACAATCAGCACCAACTGAAGCTGAGTCAAAACAGATAACACTGAAAGTAAGAGTTACTCCCTTCCACTGTGCACTGGTTTATCCCAAGAAGAAACTACCCTGCTTTTTACTCTTCTCCTAAGACCGAGACCACACTGCTTCACACTTACTTTTCATATAGGCTGATCAAAATGTCACTGTTTCTCTAAGTACATCACAGACACTTAAAATCCAGTGCATTTGGTTTACTGGTTTAACGTAAGGCATTCGTATCATATTTTTAAAGATCCCATGTCTCGTATTTCTAAAAGCTTTACCTTCCAAATGCTTCAACTAACACGGTGTATGCTAACAATTCCAAGATCTATATCCCCAGACCACACTTCTGTACTAAGTACTAGATCTACTCACCTGTCCAACCACTATATAAATATTTAGTGAGCACCTACTGTGTACCTGATACTATACTAGATGCTACTGGCAGTGAACAAGATAGAAAAGGTCTCTTCCTCTTGTAGATGGCTGGAAAAGACAATAGACAATGAGCCAATACCTATACATTCCTTAGAATTTTGACAAATGCTATGAAGATACACGGGGAGCTCATATGCTAGGGGTGTAATTGAATCTGGTTGAGGGGCTGGAGTGAGCAGGGGAGGCTTCCCTGAGGAAACAGCATGAAAGCCAAAGCCTGGGAACTTAGCAGACTTAAACTAGGCAAAGGGCTAGGAGCTGGGGTGAAGAGGGGAAGCCCAGGTACCCAGCAAATAGCAGAAATATCGTAACTCTTTTGCTGATGTGGAACCAAAGACCACTGGATTGAGTGAAGGAAAGTCAGCTTGGTAAGGCTGGACAGATCTAATGGGCAGAGGGCACAGGATGAGGCTGAAGGGCTAGGCTGGGGCCAAAGGTACTTGAGAGACCACTGCCTAGACACTGGCCAAGAGATATCCCCTGTGGTCATAGCAAATTCAGCAAAGTAAAACATGAAGTTGTCTCATCTCCTCTGAATCTTCTATTTGTCCTTGTATTACCATTTTGGTGAAAGTAGCACAACCCTGTCAGCCAACCCAAGCAAACATGGGAGTTATCTTCTCTATAACCAATCACCAACTAACTCCTGGAGACCCACTGACCTATATATTCCAGATTCTTACCTACAACACATATGGCCTTATTCAGAGTCTCACAAATGAGTCTTTACCTGGATTCCCGTCATCTTTAACTGATCTCCCTTATTAATTTTATTCTTTTATTTTCTTCCTTTTTTTTTAGAGTCCAGGTCTTACTAGGTTGCCTAGGTCGGCCTCAAACTTCTGAACTCAAGCAGTCCTCCCACCTCCGCCTCCCGAGCTGCTGAGATTACAGGCATGGGCCACTACATCCAAGCTTTCCTGCTTTCATTCCTTTTTTTTTTTTTTTTTTTTTGAGACTAAGTCTCACTCTGTCGCCCAGGCTGGAGTGCAGTGGTGAGATCTTGGCTCACTGCAACCTCTGCCTCCCAGGTTCAAGCAATTCTCTGCCTCAGCCAAGTAGCTGGGATTACAGGTGCGTACCACCATGCCTGGCTAATTTTTTGTATTTTTAGTAGAGACCGGGTTTCATCATGCTGGCCAGGCTGCTCTCGAACTCCCGACCTCATGATCCACCAGCCTTAGTCTTCCAAAGTGTTGGGATTACAGGCGTAAACCACCGCGCCCGGCCCCTGTTTTCATTCTTAATGTCCTCTAATCCACTTTCCATAAGGGCACAAGAATTATTACTTCATTGATCAAAATCCTTTAGCACCTCTCCATTACCCTCAGAATTAAATTAAAATTCCTTAGTATGATAGGGGAAGTCCTTCCAGGTCTGGCTTCCAACTTTGTAAGTAAATATAAAATATCAATATAAATAAATATAAATCATATAAAACACACATATACACATAGAAAGGAATACGGGAAATAAAATATTAACAGAATATATCTTTCAGAGTGGTGGGATTTTAGATGATTTCTTGGGATTTTCAAAGTTTTTTGCAGTATATATATCCTTTTGCAACCAGAAATCATACATTACCATTTAAATGACAAACAACTCCTCTATCCTTCCTCCTTCCAGCCTCAGATACAAATGTTTCACTTTGGCTACATGCTATAAAAGCGATGTTGCAATTGTCTCAACGTAAATAATTTTATTTTAAAAAGGTCAGGCCAGGTACAGTGGCTCATGCTTGTAATCTCATTGCTTGTGGAGGCCGAGGTGGGCCAATCACCTGAGGTCAGGAGTTCAAGACCAGCCTGGCCAACATGGTGAAACCCTGTCTCTACTAAAAATACAAAATTAGCTGAGTGAGGTGGTCCATGGCTGTAATCCCAGCTATTCGGGAGGCCGAGGCAGGAGAATCACTTGAACCTGGGAGGCGGAGGCGGCAGGGAACCAAGATCGTGCCACTGCACTCCAGCCTGAGTAACAAGAGCAAAACTCTGTCTCAAAAGAAAAAAAAAAAAAAAAAAAAAAGGTCACAGTAGAGAACTATACATTTTAAAATGGTAAATGTTCTCTTATGTATAATTTACCACAATAAAAACAAATCAAAGTGAATTCTGCCTAATTCCTGATGCAATGTATTTGGCTGCCTACAATATTAAATTTATCAAATAACTGCCCTCTCTCTACCATCCTTTTGACTGTATCAACAACCCAGATCATTTATATGCCATGTCATCACGAAGTTTCATTTTACTGGTTGGCACAGAAAGTACGAACACGGTGTGGTGTTACGAGCACAAGCTCCAGAGTCTGAGGCTTTTAACTCAGGCTCCCCCACAGATTAACTGGGAGATCCTGGAGACTTTATTTTATTCCTCTCGGTCTCAATGTCCTCATTTACAGAACGAAGACAATACTTCTTCCACACTAGATCATTTTGAAGATGTACTGAGATACTTGTAAACTACTTCACTTAGAGCCTGGGACACAGCCTGGACTCAATACATGGCAGCTATTATTAACGTATATCTTCAGTTTCAATAGCAGAAATCATTCACCTATTTTCTTATGTTTTTAAGCTCATTGATATTAAGAATCAGTCAGAAATACAAATTCAAGTATATCAGTTAAAACTTTATATATTTAGTATATATCCACAAGAAGAATTGCTTCCTAAGAATTCAGAAGATGGTGTTGGTCTATGAGAAATTTTAACAATGTAATGATATTAGCCTGTTTTTCCCCAAAGCCCAACTGTCCATCAGGATCACTGCTCTTTCTCTGAATGCTGCTGCTGTGTTTGAAGTGCCACAGTGACAGACTCCAGTACAGTGCTGGTCAACATGCCACACACCTGAACCAACCAACTAAACCTGCCGCACACCTGAACCAACCAACTAAACCTGCCGCACACCTGAACCAACCAACTAAACCTGCCGCACACCTGAACCAACCAACTAAACCTGCCGCACACCTGAACCAACCAACTAAACCTGCTGCACACCTGAACCAACCAACTAAACCTGCCACACAACTGAACCAACCAACTAAACCTGCCATAACCACCACTTACTGAAAACTGGGGGCACCACAACCCACTGGAATAGATGACTTGAGAGATCCAAGACTCGGGAAGAGCAGGATTCCCTGGAGATTTATTGAAGATGCTTTCTAAGTGTAAAATTTCCCATTGACTCGCCCTTCACCAAACATTTTTTGAGCCTTTACTATGTGTCAGACACTGGCATTTTATACAGCAGAACAAAGACAAAAACCACTACCTTCAAAATGTGGAAGATAATACTATTTAGAATAGCAACAATTTCTAATTATCTGAAGTAACGTGGGGAAAGACTAGGCAGTAGATAAATTAAAAGATGATCCTCAAGTCTAAATGTGTTATTTAACACATTTTCATGCCCTCTTTCTTCATACTATGAACTAGAGCCAGACATCCAAGCAAAACGTTTACTCCCATATTCTAAGTGCCCCTGCCCATCTTCAAGTGAAAACGAGCATGCAAATTGTGTCAGCACTTCATTCACAGCATGCAAAAAAATCTCAGTAGAAAGGGATGTGTGTCTAAGATGTCTCTAAGCAGAATTACCTGTAAACTATTCCAAATCATCCCTGTTAGGTCGTTCTTTTTATCCCTAAAGTTCCTTCCTGGGGGAAACAAACAAACAACAAACAAATGTCTTCCTGGCACATATAGAATAAGCCCATTCCCATTGATTCCAGTCTAAGCAAAACAGATTGGCTGGCAGCTATTTGTATTAAAATGATGACCCTTCACAATCTTAAAAGTATTATAGGGTGGAGTGTGGGGAACAGATACACATAAAATGGTTAGTGGTACACTACAGCTTTAAAAAGGAATGCCTAATCTTTTTGTGGGGATGGGTTATGATGCTACACGAACACTGGAGGGCGAGTGGTGGTGGAGGAGGAAGGGCAGCATGTCAGTGAGGGGATCTGTAGGTGCAGACCACATCTTCCTAGAGGTGTGGGGACAGCTATTACCCCTTCAGCTCTGTCACCCCAGCAGTACTCCCAGGAATACAAGAATCTTTTAAGCAATGCGTTGGGAATGATGGCAGCTGGTACCCTACATCTACCAGGTTGGGGTTCATGATCTCAGTTGTTCAACCTTCAAAGACTCTCTGAGCATACTAGATTTTATCATAATTCAAACTCTAACTTGCGCTTGGCTTAGGCCTAAACACCAGAGATAAAGCCATGGTCTGGGCCTGGCATTCTAGACATGGTTCAGCTTCCACGCTCCCTTACATACCATGTACTCGCAGCACCACACTGCCCAGAGCCAAAAAGCAATAAAGGTGCACCGAATAGATGAAGCATCTTAGGATAGAACATAGCAAGTGATGAAGTTACGACAGCAAGGAAAACACCAGGATTCAGCAAAGAACTCGGTAGTCAAGATTCACCAGATTCTAGGCCTCAGAGTCACAGATCATTCCGCTGCTTTCTGGCCAGCTGGTAGAATGGTGGTCAGGGGGTGACAGAGAGATGGAGCCACAGCAGTAGATGCTGTGGAGGTGGTGACGTAAGAGATAATGGTGGCAGGGCTGAATGACAAAAGACACTAACAAAGGAATGCTTAGTCATAGGGCTTGTGGTTTGCTAAGACTGCAATAAGGCATTAATAAAAGGAAAAATAACAAAAATATACAATCACTTCAGAATGTGTGGAGGAGTTCTAGAACATCTACAAGTTAATCACCTGATTATTAGGATGAAGACCAATGGCAAAGTGTACAGTTGCTAAACACAACCAAAAAAATGTCTTCCCCATCACCAAGTGCATTCTTCTCCGTTGCACTAGACTCCAACTTGAATCCTATAACCTTGGCAAACAAACATTCATGTTTTACTTCCACCTGAAGAGTTACAACACCCCACAACACACTCACCATGGCTCCTCTGTAGTATGCTGTCGTGATTGTTCGGAACCTTTCCTGACCCGCTGTGTCCCTAAAATATGAAACAAAGGAGAGTGGTTTTTAAAGTCATCACCAGCATCACTGAGGAGAGACCCTGCTGTAGGAGGGGTGTAATTCTGGTCTGCTGAGGGTGCAGTAGTCACAGGGGAAAGGAGAATGAGGCACAAAGGGAGCCCACTGCACATCTGCGAGCTGGAGGCGGTGGTGGCCACAGGAGCCTGTCAAGAGCTCACAATGACTTGGGTGAAAAACCCAGACCTTGATAAAAGCAGCAACAGAAAAATCCTGGTAGGAACTGGTGTGTCATATTAGTGGGAGGGAACAGACAATAGTTCTAAATTCTTGGACTCCCCGAGGTAGTTATAATCCTTCTTGTAAGTGCTTAATGATTAAAGCACTTTGCTTTCTTGCCTGAATGTCTGATTTCTGTAGAAAGCAAGCAACTGAGCTGGACTTATTACTGTGTACATTCTGCTCAGCAGAGCACAATAAAATACATCTCCTCAAGAACTTTCTCAGCTGTGGAGCCCATGATTTCATGGGGAGCTGAGTTCAACACATAAATCTTGACAATGTTTCCAAAGACTTTCAAACATAAACAACATGTCAAAACTATATAAACCTTCACATATTTTTGCTTTTTAGCTGATAGGATACCATTAAAATGCATTCTGAAAAATGCAATAGTTTCTGATTTCATTTATAGAAGCAATTCTATAAAGGATGTTACATTTCCTTGATACTTGAGAAAAGCAATATTCTCAAATTTGCCACTTCCAGCCAGAATTAATTCATTCCCTGTGCTACTAAGACAACATAATTGCGGCAACAAAGAGGCATTTGTGGAAATATATTAGAAATCGAGTACATACCAAACCATAATAAAAGATGAGGGCCCAAAGGAATAACAGAAGTTAAAACAATAAATACCCTACCATAGACGTATACCTTACAAAAGACTTTCAGACTGCACTCACGTGATGTCTACCACAGCTAACCGGGGTGGGGGTGGGGGTTGTGTGTGTTACCAGCATCCAAGTTCTGCGGATGAGGAAACAGGCTCAGAGGATCTAGGCCCCAGCTCTGCCACTAAACAGCTCATACTATTTTTTTTTTTTTTTTTTTTTTTTGAGATGGAGTCTGGCTCTGTCACCCAGGCTGGAGTGGAGTGGTGCCATCTTGGCTCACTGCAACTTCCGCCTTCTGGGTTCAAGCGATTCTCCTGCCTCAGCCTCCTTAGTAGCTGGGACTACAGGCACCGCCACCATGCCTGGCTAATTTTTGTATTTTTAGTAGAGACGGGGTTTCACCATATTGGCCAGGATGGTCTCAATTTCTTGACCTCATGATCTGCCCACCTTGGCCTCCCAAAGTGCTGGGATTACAGGCGTGAGCCACCGCGCCAGAAGGGACAGGAATATTCTTCTATCCCAGTTCTGAGATTCAAAAGGAAATCGAGCCTAAGGCAAAAGCTAGTATGTATCACTTTACTCCTTAGCCCTTCCTCCTTCTTAGTTAGTGCTGAATTCTGGTTTTATCTGCTGCTGTCATTATTCCACATTAGATCAGCAAACGTCACCAAAAACCTTCCAAAAGCTCCAAATCTATATGGCTCCATGCAAAGCACTGAACTGAAAGAAATTAAACCAGCTTCTAGGAGGTTAAAAAAAAATCTAAGAAGAGCTTCTGAGTTCAAGTCAAAAACATTCAACCCAGCAATCTGGAAGAACCATATTTACTCACTGTAGTTGAACAAATGCTTCACGAGTTTATGAACCAGAATTGGGTAATCATAAGATCTCTGCCTTGCATACTGCAACACGAGTTGGGAAATAGCCTAAGGACTGACAGTTTGTGTTCCTCCAACATTTATATGTTGAAGCCTGATCCTCAATGTGATGGTTTTTAGATGGGGGAGGTTGGGAGGTAATTAGGTCATGAGAGTGGAGCCCTTGTGAAAGGGATTAGTGCCCTTCTAAGAGACACCAGAGAGATGACATCTCTCTGGACCATGTGAGGATACAGGTTTGTGAGACTGTAGAGTCTGTGAGACGGCTGTCTACAAACTAGGAAGCAAGCCTTCACCAGACACTGGGTCTGCTGGCACCCTCATCTTGCATTTCCCAGCCTCCAGAACTGTGAGCAATACATGTTTATTGTTTAAGACACCCAGTCTATGGCATTTTTATTATAGTAGCTGTGACAAGTATGATCCAGTAAGAAACACATATAGTAAGAAATATATTTGGTCTCTGCTTCTGGTTCTTGGAACACAAATCCTAAAATCCTCGGAATATCCAACAAAGTGATAAAGTTCTTTTTGTGTGCTAAAGAAATAACTGGTGGCTGGGGCTCCTGTCCAGCCCCAGGATAGGAGGCTGGTTGCCAGGAGAACCAACCAAGGGATCAGCGGGCTGGAACTTTCAGTCCCACCACCCAATCTCTGGAGAAGGGAGAGGGGCTAAAGGTTAACTTAATCACCAATGGCCCACGATGTAATCAATCATGGCCACATCATGAAACTTCCATAAAAGTCCAAAAGGACTGGGTTTGGAGAGCTTCAGAATAGTGAGACACATGGAGGTGCTGGTTGTGCCTGGAGGGAGTTTGCCCCTCCCACAAGGAAGAAAGTGTGGAAGTTCCTCACCCTTCCCACATGCCTTGCCCCGTGCATCTCTTCCGCCGGCTGTTCATCTGTCTTCCTTGCAATATCCTTTATAATAAATGGGTAAACATGTTTCCCTGAGTTCTGTGAGCTGCTCTAGTAAATTAGCGAAATCAGAGGAGGGGGTCATCCGAACCCCAGTTTATAGCCAGTTGGTCAGAAATATAGGTGACAACCTACTACAGTTGAGTATTCCTAATGTGAAAATCCAAAACCTAAACTCCTAAATCCAAAACTATTTGAGTGCCTACATGATGCCACAGTGGAAGATTCCATACCTGATCTCATATGATGGGTCACAGTCAAAATGTAGGCATACAACACAGTTTATTTTTAAATTTTTTATTAAAATATTATATAAAGTTATGCTCAGCTTTATGTGTATTAGCCGTATATGAAACATAAATGAATTTCGTGTTTAGACTTGGGTCCCATCCCCAAGATATCTCATTATGTATATGCAAATACTCCAAAATGCAAGAAAATCCAAAATCTGAAACATTTCTGTTCCCAAGCATTTTGGATAAGGGATATTTAACTTGTACTTGCAACTGGCAGCTGAAGTGGGAATACTGTGGGACCCAGCCCTCAATCTGTGGGATCTGACACTATCTCCAGGTAGACAGTGTCAAAATTGACTTAAATTATAGGACACCCAGAGAGAAAAAGAAAATTTGAAAAAAAAAAGAAGAAAAAGTATAGGACACCCCAGTTGGCATCTGCTGGAGAATTACCTGGTGGTGGCGGGGAGAACCCCCTGACATGTGGTGTCAGAAGTACTGTGCTATGTATGAGAAAAGTGTGTTTAAAAATATCTTACAGAGCAGCCTGAACTATGACATGATTTTTTTCTCCCTGTTTTTCTCAGTCCAAAGGTCTTCATTTTTCTATTTAATAAGAAATATGCAAATAAATTATAAAACATTATAGCTGGAGGGGATCTCCAACATCATCAATCCAACCAATTTACAAGTGAGAGAAAGGAGACCCTGAGAAGGAAAATAACTGGCCCAAAGCCCTCAGTTTGGAGGCACCATGGCTAGAACCTAGACCTGTACTTCCTGCCAAGGGTTCCTACGATATGACTACTTTGCCTTATCAGCTACAACAACTATGATGAAAAAGTAATTTGCATTCCTTAGAATTTAGTTTCCTCCCCTCACAAATTACAGGTTTGGAAAAATTAGCTATGGAATCTCTTCTGGCTCCAACAGTTAGTACCCTCTCTCACCTTCCCAACTCTTGGTGGAGATATGTTTGAAGGATTCCTAATACTTACTCATTTCCCCTTGGTTCTGATAAAGGAAAGATGTTTTAGCTATCACAAGATGCCTGTCACTTAATACAATTCACATTTAATTCCTACTTTCAATTCCCAATTAAAGGAGAAACTCTTTGTGTGTGTGTTTACTTACCATATCTGAAGCTTAATTTTCTTTCCATCTAGTTCTATCGTTCTGATTTTAAAATCAATTCCTGCCAGAAAAACAAGGAAAGATATGTTAAGTTTCTTCAGATATAATCAAGTCTCATTAGGAAGAGGACAAAGATTTCTATTGAAAAAAAGCTCTCCAACGCACTGGAAAATGTGAACACAGAGAGGGTGTGAATGGTATGTTTCCTCTGAATACAGGCTGGAGAAAGGAATGCTAATTACGCAGCAAAGAATTCCCACACATGTTAAATGCAACGTATTATATGCCTCATTATTCTGACACAAATGGATCACATCCTGCAAAGTTATATAATTTAGATAGATTGAGAACATGCCATATTTCCTACTTCCTGAAGTACATAGAGACAATGCTTCCCACCTACTCCTACTCCTCACCCCCAGCCCTTCCCTAAATGTGGCTATGGGACCTCTTTAAAATATTTTCCTCCATCTCCTTCCATGTTTTTCTTCAGATTCTGCAACTGACTAAGGAAAAAAAAAATCGCCTATTTGACAGTAGGGGAGGTAAAGCCTGCATATCTATTTTATATAGTTAGCAAGTATTTTATTTTAGAATAATATTTCATATAATAAAAAAAATTTATTTTAATAAATGTTCTCCACAGATTACTGGCTAGAGCTGAAACAGGCAGAATGGATTTTAGCCCTGGCTGTACTCTAGAATTGCCTGGTACTATGATCTGAATGTCCCCTCCAAAACTCACATTGAAATTAGATTGCCATTGTGGGACCTCAGAGATACCAGAACCTTTCAGAGGTGATTCATGCAGAGCCTGTATGAAAGACTGTCCTTATCACAGGAGTGAGTTAGTTATCTTGAGAACAGATTTTTATAAATGTGAGTCCTGCTCCTCCTACATTCTCTTCTGTATGAGTACACTTGCCCTTCCAGTCTTCCAGCATGAGATAATGAAGCATGAAGGTCTTCACCAGATGCTGATGCCATATCCTTGGACTTCCTAACCTCCAGAACCAGGAGCTAAATACATTTCTGTTTATTATAAACTACACAGTTTCAGGTACTGTCATAGCAGCAGAAAATGGACTGAGATACCTGAAAAATGTTAAAAAGAATACTCATGATTAAGCCTGCTCCCTTCCCCAAATTCTGAGATTGTGACTTAATTGGTCAAGGGTGGGACCTGGGCACTGGTAATTTTTAAAGTTTCCCAGATGATTCTAACCTGAAGCCAAAAGTTTTGGCTTTTGAAGGGCTTTGCGTTTTGAAGGGCTCTGGCACTTCAAAAGTTCAACCCCTCCCTCACTTATTTCCCCTCACTATGGTAGCTCAAAACTTATTTATCAATTTCAGCTACAAAAACACACAAAGCCCTTGACAGATATCAGCAAGCTCTATCATGTATCAGGAATAAGCTTTCGGAGACCAGTTACTGAATACAACTTCATTGCAATTTGCTAAATCCTCATCATCTGGTTACTCAGCTTTGTTTAGATTTTTCTATTCTTTTGCATTCTATCCAGCAGGGGTTCCCAACCCCTGGGCCATGGACCAGTACTGGGCTGCTCGGCAGGAGATGAGTGGCAGACAAGCGAGAGAAGCTTCATCTGTATTTATAGCCACTCCCCACTGCCTGCATTACCGCCTGAGCTTAGCCCCCTGTCAGATCAGCAGCAGCATTAGATCTCATAGGTGTGCAAACCCTGTTGTGAACTGCACATGTGAGGGATCTGGGTTGTGCACTCTTTAAGAGAATCTAACACCTAATGATCTCTCACTGTCTTCTGTCACTCCCAGATAAGACCATCTCGTTGCAGGAAAGCAAGCTCAGGGCTCCCACTGATTCTACACTGATGAGTTGTATAATTATTTCCTTATATATTAAAATGTAATAATAACAGAAATAAAGTGCATAATAAATGTAATGTGTTTGAATCATTCCTAAACCACCCACAGCCCCCACACCACCACCACTTCCAGTCCCTGGAGGAAAAACTGTCTTCCATGAAACTGGTCCCTGGTGGCAAAAAGGTTGGGGACTGCTGCTATACAGAACCCCTTAAAGTGGTTTCCAAGAAATTTCAGGAAAACATGTAAATCATACATCCTCTAAATTGACTTAACCATTAACTCCAATTTTTTTTAGGTGGGGTGCATTCAACTGCTATGTTACTACAATATTTCTTCATGTAAACATTGAGAGCACCCTGAAAGGCTGCTTCCTAGCCCCAGCTTTATACAATGCATAGACATAAACCAGTTGACTTTTCCCCTTTTTCTCTGTGTGGTACTTTTCTCCCAGGGAGCCTTTCTAGGTACTCTCGTGAATCTTGAAACAGGCAACAATTACACCCAAGCCAATTTAGCAGAACACCGTTTCCATTATTATTTTCCCTCACTAATAACCATAAATTATTAATAAGTATCAGGTTGGCACAAAAGTAATTGCAGTGTTTGCCATTACTTTTATAATTCAAAATATTTAAAAATAATGATGAAAACCACAATTACTTTTGCACCAACCTAATACAATCTGATGCCCAATATTCCCAAGTTATCTGGCTCACATTTTCTCCTCAACATTTCAGGGTCTGTAAAGGTGACACAAAACTCTTTAACTCAGCATAAATATTACCGCTAGCATCTGACAAAATGTACTGTTGCCATCACTCACTTAAGACTTAATAGACATTGGTTTTTATTGATTTATGCTTTATATGCCTCCAAATCCAATGTAACAAAGACCCTCTAGGAATCCTCCTCTATCTTTTCCCTCTCTTTGGGCCTGGCATCAAGAACAGTGCCCAACACCTGGTAGGTACTCAAGAAATGTTTCTTCAGATTAACATTTAAAAAGACATTCATGACTTTCCAAATCCTTAGAAACAGGAAGTAGTACAACGGCAGTTACCAGAATCTGGAGAGAGGGGGAAAGGAATAGTCGTTTATATAGGTTTGGAGTTTCAGATTTGCAAGATGAAATAGTTCTAGAGATCAGGTGCACAACAATGTGAACATGTGTAACGCTACTTAAAATGGTTAAGATTGCGGGCCGGGGGCAGTGGCTCACGTCTGTAATCCCAGCACTTTGGGAGGCCAAGGTGAGCGGATCACAAGGTCAAGAGATTGAGACGATCCTGGTCAACATGGTGAAACCCCGTCTCTACTAGAAATACAAAAAAATTAGCTGGGCATGGTGGCGCGTGCCTGTAATCCCAGCTACTCAGGAGGCTGAGGCAGGAGAATTGCCTGAACCCAGGAGGCGGAGGTTGCGGTGAGCCGAGATCGCGCCATTGCACTCCAGCCTGGGTAATAAGAGCGAAACTCCGTCTCAAAAAAAAAAAAAAAAAAAATGGTTAAGATTGCAACTTATATGTTTTTTTACCACAATAAAACATAAAAAATCATGGCTTTCAAAATGCCTGTTGTATACCTGAATACATTAATTAAAAGGCTGATGTCCAATATTTTACTACTTAATAGTTCATTCACTTTTTTTTTTGAGACAGGGTCTCTTTCTGTTGCTAAGGCTCGAGTACAGTGGTGTGATCTCGGCTCACTGCAACCTCCACCTCCTGGGTTCAAGGGATTCTCCCACCTCCCACCTCAGCCTCCCAAATAGCTGGGATCACCGGTGTGCAGCACCAGACCCAGCTAAATTTGGTATTTTCAGTAGAGACGGGATTTCACCATGTTGACCAGGCTGGTCTCGAATTCCTGGCTTCATGTGATCCGCCTGCTTCAGCCTCCCAAAATGCTGGGATTATAGGTGTAAGCTAGTAGGCCCAATCTTCATTCACATTTTAAAGAAAAGAAGAAAAGACGACGTATACCAGAATATTTGTTCAGATTAATATTTTCCTTATTCTGGCTTACTAAAATGGTAATTCCTGTGCTTTTAAGGTTGATTTTGCTTGTAATTGAAGTCATGGGCAACTTTACCACTTTCTCTCAACAATGCCAATTTGAGGCTTCTTAAATTCCCACTACTCTCCATTCATCTAAAGCACTTCAAACACTTTCTCCTGACCGAGCCCTTTTTTTATTTGTTAGAAACATTACCTTTCAGTTATATAAGGAAGTTCTAAGGATGTTGATACGTAGCCATCTTTTCCCTACTCAAAGGTTTTCAATGTTTATAAAAGCTGTGAACGATGGCATTTAGCTTTTGCTTATGCTGCTGTCGAGGCCCAGTGGACAGACAAGTGAACAGAGTCAAATTAGCACAACATGGAAAAAAAGGTAAATGGGACCTAAAATAGGTAATAGTTTTAGAAAGTAAGAATTTCACTAAAAGTGGCAAAAATTCATTGAAAAGGTTCTGTCACTAATAACTTGTGAACGGGCTGCTTAACTACTCTAAACCTATATTTCCATTAAAAAGGGATGACAGGGTCTAATTAGATAAATTAGACGATGTGTGTGAACATGCTTTGGGAACCCTGCAATTCCATCTAAACCTAAGAGATTACACATTCAGTCTATAACCCTACAGCTCACAGCTCTTGCCACTTCGTGCCTGGATTATTCGTAATAGCTTTCCAGGATACTGGGCCAACATCTCCCCCGGTCTAATTCCCCTACATGTCACTTCTAGAATAACTTGCAACAATCCCTGTAACAGTGTCACTACACTACTTAAGAAGCCGTAGAGCCAACTTCCTCAGCCTGGTGATACAGCCTTTCCCACCAGATGCACCATTCTCCTGACACTGCAAACCTCAGAGTTTCTCCAGATGAGGCCCTTCGCTTCTCTCAGTGGGCCCCACACCTCATTTCCTCCACTCCTGCATGGCCACCTCACTTTGCAGCCTTCTCAGAGGACGCCAGTCCACCCATGTAGTTCTCTCTCTTCTCTCCTCAGCTCTCCACTCAGCCATGCCCATTCTTACCTCAAGGCCTGGCTTTTGCACAGTGATTTAATCCTGTGTTTTTGGGTTTTATTAACATAGTGCCCTGCAATTGCTTTCAGATCATACGAAGACCCCATCCTCTCTTTGCCAGTTAGGTTGTGCACAGAAACACGAGCACAGTAACCCAGTACCGTAATCCCAGTACTTT